TCCTCCCCTCCCTCCTCCCCTCCCCTCCCCTTGTTCAGAGTCTCACTAAAGTAGCCCACGCTGGCCTCAAACTCAAGTCTTCCTACCTCAGCCTCCCAAAGGCTAGGATGACACCCATGTCACTACACTCAGTGCAGTTATAAATCTTAAGTTTTAATATTACTAGGATGACACCCATGTCACTACACTCAGTGCAGTTATAAATCTTAAGTTTTAATATTTTTTTCATCTAAAATCATAATTGAAGGGCCAGGTTTCCTCCCTCTACAAGGCAGGTTTATTTCCTTACAGCCAATGCATGGTCCTTTGGGGTTCCTGATTTACCCAGTGGTTTCCTTTTAGGCACACTTCTTGAGAGTTAGTGTCCCATGAGGTCATCCCTGAGGTCATCAGAACAAGTTCAAGGTCACAAATGCTGAGCAGGTGCAATTTTCAGTCTTTGCTCACCTCTCTGTACTCCTAGACTTGATTCATTTCTGGCCTAAGAAGATTTGATTTCCTCAGTAACTCAGCAGTGTATTTAGAAGTATTTTTTAAAACTATTTTATTCAGCATTTTTAGTTGTTGATAATGGCAGCATTATTGAGGATACTGCAGGACTATTGTCAGCCTTTTTGTTTATAGAGTGCATTTTTCCCTTCTTACCTCTTTAGGCTGCCTTCAGGGAGAGAACTTGGTTCAGTGTGAGCCATGTCCTATCTGTATGTGGCCATTCTTTTCCTCCTGGATACTGCAGTGGAATCCCTTGAGCTGAATGGGGTCTGGGACTTGCATGCCTCTTCCCTGAAAAGGGGACATACTGCTTCCTTCAAAGCCAGCCACAACATCCAGTGGCTGGGTCTCACACTTGTCTTACAGCTATAATAGAGCTAAGTTTCTAGCCTTCCCTTTGCTCATGGCTGGCCAGCTTAGGGGAGTGGGTCTGAGTCCCTTCTGCCACCCACAATCACTTTGTTCTGGCTTTCTTTGAGAATTTTTCTCCTTGTACCCAGTTAACAAAGAAGATAAAGAAAGCATCCTTATATCCTTTTATCTCCTCTGAGGAGGCCAGCTCACAGCTCAGACAGGAAGAACAAAGGGAACATGCCGTATGGGTCAAGCTGCCCCTCACCCCTAGGCCTCAAGTTCAGTTTATGGGTTTTGTGGCTGCCCCTGGACATGCACTTCCATATCTCATTTCTGTCTTGGGTGTTGGTCTTGTCTGTCTGGAGCTGGCTCTAGAGAAGTCCAGATGCCTGAGCAACTTCCCTCCCCTGCCAGGAAGCCTCTGCTAATTATCACCTTCAGGAAACAGAATAGGAAGCAGAAATCCAGTAATTCTCAAGGGATCTGGGGAGGAAATAACTCCCTTAGGAAAGTTTACCAGAGGTTTTTATAATCTTACGGAAGTTTTTATAGTTATCACCCACCCCTCTCAAGTGAGCCGGTGCTTCTGGGTCCACTGATGTGGAATTTCGTTGTTTAGAAAAGTGACTACTATTAGTCAGCCACCTGGTTATTGAGCTCTTGAGATGTGGCTCGTAAAATATTCATTGGATTTTCAAAGTTTAATACTAAGTAAAGGACATAATAATAATGTCTTGGTAATTCTTATATCAAGAACATATTGAAATGATGTTAGATAGGTAGAGTGAAATACAAGATTAACCACTTACCAGTCCAATTATTTAAATACAGGATGACCAAAAATTGCATTTTCATTAATTTTTATAAGATAATATAACAAGAAACATAAAAACAACAATTTTATCAAATTTACTCAATACAAGAATGAACTGGTTGCAATGGCACCTGCCCGAGCAACACTCGGGACAGACAATGTATAAGCAAACACACTGCCCAATAACACTCAGGGTAAACCGTTGAGAGGTTAAAATTAATTTCGCCTTATTTTTAAAATGTGGCTGCAGAGCTTACTTATATGGGTATATTTGTTGCTCACTTTGTCTTCTGGACAGCATTAACCTAAAAGAAAACATGTTCCGTGTGTGTATTGTATGCGCACACGTTTGCACACATGTGATAATTACACAAACTAGCTCTGCCTGCCTGCAGCCTCTGCTTCTCAGATAATTTGTCACAGGTGCCTCACTCCTACAGATAGAAGTGACATCATTCACCCCCCTAGAGGTTTTTCCATGATGCCCACACCCCACTACCTGAAGCAGAAAGAGGGATATTCCCAAACAGGGAAAACAAAAATGGGATTTCTAAGGAGCCGTGTAGTTACTAATAACTTCAAAAGGTCTGTTCATGCTATCTTTTCTGAAGGTTTAGTTTGCTTTTCAGAAACCAGCAAGTTCTCACTGATGTGTTTTCTTGTTTCAGTTGCAACAAGGAACTACTGGCCAGAAAGTAATACTGAGCCCCACATAGAAAATATTGCCTTTTATCAGAATCCAGAGAACTTTTCAACAGTGGATTCCAAAGAGGGTACTTTGGTTCAGATCTCCAGAATGAGCCACACTTCTTCAGAAGCTCCAGAAAACCTCACTCTCCTCATTGAAAAAGCAAGCACTGAAGGGAGGAAGGAGTCTTCAAGTAGAACAGATTTCACTGTCTCCCCTACTGGGCGCTCACCTGAGACTGCAACAGTGCTGACTTCCCAGGACAGCACGTTATGTAAGTTTGTACTGATGATGCTTATTGTATTCATGTTTATCCAGTCTTGGAAAACATTGCTGCCTCGCCTTTCCCTCCCCAGTCCCAACTAACTATGCCCATCCAGAGGTCCTGGGCCGGGGTGGGTCAGACCTGTAAGTTAAGCTGTGAGATGCTCATAAGGACAGATCAGAGAAGGGTACAGATTTGCCAAGCAGCCTGGTTGGTCCCGTGGCATCTCCATTCCATGGCCAGTCTAAATCCAAACTTCATCTCTTCTCCAGGGATACTGCCATGTACTCAATCTCAGAAGCACAGGTCTGGTAGGATGCGTGCCTGAGAAAGATGGCCAGGCTGTCTTTGTTTGTGTTGTTTGTATTAATGTGGTTTTGTGCTGATGTGTTTCAAATAATTATTCTTGCTCCAGATTACACAGCTTTGAGGTTCTGAGGTCCTGGGCCGGGGTGGGTCAGACCTGTAAGTTAAGCTGTGAGATGCTCATAAGGACAGATCAGAGAAGGGTACAGATTTGCCAAGCAGCCTGGTTGGTCCCGTGGCATCTCCATTCCATGGCCAGTCTAAATCCAAACTTCATCTCTTCTCCAGGGATACTGCCATGTACTCAATCTCAGAAGCACAGGTCTGGTAGGATGCGTGCCTGAGAAAGATGGCCAGGCTGTCTTTGTTTGTGTTGTTTGTATTAATGTGGTTTTGTGCTAATGTGTTTCAAATAATTATTCTTGCTCCAGATTACACAGCTTTGAGGTTTGCTATTTTTAGCAAAGGATTTTAAGAAGGGGCTGGGGCTTGACGGTAAGACTTACTTGAGAAAGAAAACTAGCAGTTATTAGCTACTCACTACATACCAACATACCTGTTTTCTCAATTCTTACAGAAAGTTAGAAGATCATTTTACAAATTTGAAAATTGAATCTCAGAGAAGTTAACCCAATATATGAAGGTCAAAGAACTAACATGTTTTAGGGCCAGGATTTGATCCTAAGTCTGAATATATCAAGTGGGAGGGTGGCTGAGGAGTGAGTGTGTGGTTAAGTTAGGGATAATCATGGAGCACTTTGCAAACTGTACAGTTTATACCTGGTGTGATGGGAAAAGTCACCGGAGGGCTTTGCACAATGGAATAATCCTGTTAAAGTAAATCTGAGGATTCATCTGTCTAGCAGATCCAAAATGTATTACAGGGTTGGGGAGATGGAGGGAACCTAGACTGAGGAGAACTGCCCAGGTAGACAACAAATCTAGACACGTTTTGGCCAGGATGAAGAGGAAGAGTTTCCAGAAAGACTTAACAAAGGAAAGTTTGTGAAGATCTCAAAGTGGAGGATGAGAGTGTCCAAAGTGATTCCATTGTTTCACATCCTAGTGACAGAAGGTCTCACTGGGGACACTAAATTCTGAGAAGAGTATTTTGTGTCCCATTTTTGAATGGTGGCTACAGAGCTTAGGAACTACACATGAGACTACCTTATTGGGGTTTTTTGGGTTTCCATTTTTTGGTCATCTAGATAATGAAATTTTTTTTATGCTGAATTCCAGTAAATTCTGGAACCATCTCTGTGGAATATGGGAGGCGATAAGTTAGGATGATCTGGCACTGACCTCTAAGTCCATACTGTCTGATATTTGGCTTGATATCACTACTGATCATTTTACTGCCCCACTGCTGGTAATTTTTCTTTCAAAACATTTTTTTTGTGTGCTCAAAAAACAATCTTTGTCTTGGTTTATGGTCTCTCATTCAGGAGTTCACTTTCCAGAGAACAGTTGCTCCTGATTTCTTTTCACATCTATATATTTTATAGAAGTCAGAGTTGACCCACTAAAAGATTATTCAGATGCTTAGAAGTCTGCTGGTGGAACTTGAATTGTTACTGTCTATAATTATTCAACCTTGGAAGGGCTTCACACGCCATCCGACAGTTCTGAGTCACAAGGAAAAGTTGCCTCTTCTCACATGGACAGCAGAACATCCCAGGGCTTCCTGGAGAGGGTGAAGGGTGTCCCAGAAGTGACTGGGCACACTCTAGTGGCTGCCACTTCAGTTTTGAGCCAGTCCTCCCTTCCTACTTTAGAGTCAGGAGAGCCAACCATGCTCTCATCAAAAGAAATTCCTCAGGACCACTGCTCTCATTGTCCCATTTATCCGTGAACCAGCTTCTTCTCCTTCCTCAGACCATTCTGCATGTGAGTGTTCCTGTCCCCAGCTTACCACTTGAAGTCATTCAAAACAGCCCTCAGGAGGTGTGTATAGATAGTTAATTAAATACTTGTAATAGGGCCTAAGACAAAAGAGACAATAAACCAAAAATGCCATTCCACTATTGCCAGATATTTAGGGTAGAAGTATAACCTATACAGTTCATCTCAGTATTGAAGTACATGTTTAAATATGTTTCCCTTAACCACGTAAGGAAGAAGAGAATAATTGGCCTGCTTTCTCCTTTTTTTCTCCCTCTAACCACTAATATACAAGGACTAAGTGTTAAATAGTGCGTATTCTTACAGAAGAGGCCACGGGTTGGGTGCATCTCAGTTACTTTCTCGGTCCTGGGACAAAATGTCCGACACCTGTAAGTTAAAGGAGGAAAGGTTTATTTTAGCTCACAGTTTGTAGAGGTTTCAGCGTAGTTCACTGTCTCTAAGGCAGAGCAGCACAGCAGAGGAGAAATAGTTCATGATGTGGCAGGCAGAAAGCAGCATGATTTCTTCCTTTCCTTTTTATCCATCCAGGCTACCAGCCCCTTGGCTGGTGCCACCCGCACCCGGTGTCTTTCCTCTTTAGTAAATCCACTGCTCTTTAGTAAACCCAGAACTCTGCTAAGCCAATAAGTGCACCTGTTCAGCATCACACACCCATGATCCAGTCATTCTCGTAAACCCCACCTATGAGTGCATGAGGCTTTGGGGAGACATCTAGATATAACCTGTAACAAGGTGCTTTTGTGAAATGGTGAGCAGTATATCATTTATTTCTTAATTAGTGCAAAAGCACTTCCTTCAATGGCAAGGAAAAGTGGAGGTGTTTGCAAGGCATGCTAGTAGTCGCTGTGGCTGTGGAATACTCTCCCCTCTCTGCCATTCCACTTCCTTTTCAGTTTTTTGTTGTTGTTGTTGTTGTTGTTTTGTTTGTTTGTTTTTTTTTTGTACCAGGGATCGAACTTGGGTCCTTGTGCTTGCGAGGCAGGCGGCATGCAGGAGAACCACTGAGCTAAATCCTCAGCCCTCCTACTTATCATTTAAGTCCTGACTTGGATGTTCCATTTCCATGAGCCTTTCTTCAGCCCTGGTCCTCTGTACGAAACATCTTGGACCAAGTCACCCAGTGCCTGCCTTCCTGGAGGCTGTACTGCCCTTGCAGACACTGGCTGGTCTGTTACTTATTCTAGGTTCCCCACTGCATCTGAACAAGGTAGTTGATAAGATATAGGGATTAGTAAATGCCCAAATCCCCTCACAGGGCACATCCTGTTCTGACTGAAAGAGAAATGCTGCAAACTGCCCCTCATAGGTGTTATTCAGTCTGTGTGCTGCTCGTTTTCATCCTCAGGCCATAGGGGACAGGATAGAGGGTTGGGAGCATTCTTGGGAAACAGAAGTTAGGCTGCTTCAGAAATTACCATTTCAAAATTCTTATAGGGCAGAGGTTTTCAGAAGTACTTTGTAAGAGTAGAAGTTTGGGTTTATGTCATCAAAACAAAAACTGAATTTCAACACCTATTTAAAGAAGCCAGCTCCTTTCCCATGCACTTGGCATGCAGTTTTCTGCTGACTGGGAATGGGTATAATTCATGATTCATGTTTTTAGGAGACTGCTTTTTAAGATTATTCATAAACACTGGTCAGATTGAATAAAGCTATGAACCTTTGTAGCTCCATTTTGTGGTTCAGTGATTTACAACCAATTTTACTAAATGGTGGAAAGGAAGCATTTTCTAGGAATTTCCACTTTTATTCTGGTCAAGGTCATTTAATATTTATAATTTAAATTGATATATTTGAAAGTCCATATTTTTAATGTTACTGGACTCAATCTCTGTTCACCTGTGATTTTTTCAAAACAACAACAAAAATTGGTCTTTAAATTATTTGGGTATTTGTCCTTCTAGAACCTTGTGCTTCTAAGTTTTGGATTGTTCAACTCTCATATTCCTGTAATCTTTTGCTGAGAATTTCTCTTTAGTGACCTGCGTGTTCTGTTTTATGTAGCCAGACCATCCTCTTAGATGCTGAAGGGGGATTTGGGTTAGAGGACCTACGCACAAAGACCTGAAGCCAGCGGGAAGACAAAGTTCAGATTTATTTTTAAGCCTTGTCTAGCACCTGCCAACATACCAAACAGAGGTATGCATACCTCCTAGCTCCCCTGAATGGAAGTCTCTCCCTTTTTGACTACATGATAATAAAGCAGCAAGCAACTGGGCAAGACTGTGTACCCATAGCTGGCAGGTCCTGCTAAGGCAGATCTGGATTTGGCTTGGCCCAACCAGCCAGCTGTACAAAAACAGAAATGAGATGGAAAATGACAGAGGCTTGTGCCACTCCATCCTCTAGTAAAAATCCTGGCACTCAGACCAGTCAGATCAGAGAGGCTCCTTGCTAGGTGGGCACAAGCATGATGAGCTGGAAGCCTGGCACAGCACAGATGGGGGCTCCTCATTCCAAATACGAAGGGATTGGACTGATGACCTGAAAGATCCCTGCTAGTTTCACCCTGTGGTGTTCCGCACAGTCTCATAGTCTGGGCTTTCTTTCACTACCATCCTGTACACAGAAACACCTGTGCAGCCCCTCTTCTGAGGATGACATACCCAGGAGTTATCTGCTCCTGAAAATAAATTGTATGCTTTATAGCATTAAGGCTGGCATAGGCCCTGGCAGCAGAATTAGATAATTTTAAAAGATATTGGAAGCCATTTGAAATGACTTTCCTGCTGCCTTATGGTCATTGCTGCTTTATATCTTTCTGTACTTTGCATGTTTTCTGCAGTGGTCATGTACTGTTTGATCATTGTGGGGTAAAGTAAAGAAAGAAACAGTGGGGAAAAGCTCTTTCTAAGGCAGAAAGATATGTGTATGTTGGATTGTGTGAAGTGGCTACAACTGAGCACTAAATTTAGAATAAGCTTCCTGAAAGCCAGGGCACAAAGGGAAGCTGGGTGGGGCAAGCGATTGCTCAGATAAAGCATACGATTTAATCCATAGCCATAAATATTTGGGGACTGGTAAATTCTAGGAGGAATGTTTCTATAAGGAATGTTGAGGATCATAATGGAAAACACTTTCAGTCACTGTTTTGTGGAGATTATGCTGGTGTTCCTTAAAAGATGATATTTTATATAGATTTTCAATAGGAACTGAGGGTATAATAATGGACCTGAACTTATAAAAGTTTTTCCGTGGGTAGCAGAGGTAATGTGGTCCAGGTAAATTGCTTGGTGGTGATTTCACTTTGTAAAAGAAGAAGGCATAAATAACTCAGGAGATTTTCAATTCAGCCTAGCTTTCTCAGATATCAGTTGCTCCAGCTATACTGTGGGGAAGTCTAGAGAGCAGACACATGAAGGTTAAGCATTCAGATGTATGCCTGAGGTTCTGGTATTTTGCATTGTGATTTGAGAGGACAGCACATACTTTTATCAAAGGAGTATGCCTTCTTTCCACCTTCTGTTACAGAGACTAGGAACTCCGCTTGTGTCTGCCTTCAGTGGATTGTTTTCCCATATTTGAATGGCTGCTTCCAGGGTAGAAGTGAGCCAGGATGGGCAATTATTAAATAATAATAATGCTCATCACTTGACTTAAAATGTAGTAAATTTCCCCTACATTTATTTAGCAAGTGCTTATTTAGCAGTGGTTGTAGATTAGTTTGACTGTTTACTCTTTTTATTATGAGGCACTAACTCCTCAGCAGTATTCACACTCATTTTCTTTCTGTGAGGGTTAAATGTAACTACTATGTAAAGTACTTAGCACAATGCTTAGTACATCAAAATTGGCTGACTAATGGTAGCTTTTTATGATGATGCACGTCAGGGAAAACAGCCATTTTCCTTTTGCGATTTTAGCAAAATCTTTGGCCACTTGTTTGTTAAAACACCGAAATGGACAGGCCAGGGATGTCCAGGCTGAATCCAGAATAATCAGCCCTGTGTTTTGATGGGACATTGAATGGATAAAATACTGCATTTTACTGGGAATAAAAGTGTTTTAAAAGTACTTTGGAGCCAGGCATCCAAACTACTAGTACCCTGGAAAATTGAGGCAGGAGGATTACAAGTTTGAGCCCAGCCTGGGCAAGTTAGTGAGCTGTGTCTTACAATAAAAAATAAATACAAAGGGCTAGGGACATAGCTCAGTGCAAAGGCCCTAGGTTCAATTCCCAATACCATTTTTTTTTTTGGTGGGGGGGAACTATTTGTAGCATATCTATGCTTTTCTTTCTTATACTACAGTACTTTTGTTTACATTTTCAAGTAGGATTGGGTTTGGGTACACTGTAACTATTTTTGTCTCATCTTTCTGTTCCTTTATATTTGTTACTATTTTTAAGGATTCCATGCATCTTCATTTTGTCATCCCTTTATTTTTTCATTCTGAGATAAAGTCTCACTAAGTCACTTAAGTTCCCCAGGCTGGACCTGAACTTGCTACCCTCCTGCCTCAGCCTCTCAGAGTAATTATGGGTAGGTGAGTGCCACCATGCCAGGCTAGGAACTATGGTTTTAGACAAGAATAAGAGGAACTTTTTGTTTCCTGTGCTCTTTCTTTCTCTCCAACTATATCTACAATGTGTTTGTGCTGTATTTATGTGGTCACAACTGCACAGAAGACTGTTCTCCAAGGAACTATTTATAATGACAAAAACTTTTTCCCTTTTCTGTGTCAAAATTAACACCTCGAAGCCTTTCATTACATCAATTTAGAGTACTTTTATTATTTTTAGCTTTTAAAAAAGGCACTGTCAGGCCAGGGATTTAGCTCAGTGGTTCAGTGGCCTGCCTTGCAAGCACAAGGACCCGAGTTCAATCCCCAGTACCAAAAAAAAAAAAAAGGCACTGTCTTCTCGCCTGCCATGTTGCTTGCTGCTCATCAAGCTTTCCTGCACTTCGTTCCTGTTTGGAAGTAAGATTGCTGGGTACTGAATCCACTTAGTAAGTCTGAATCTCTTTACAAAGCAAATAGTACATTTGTCTTGCCTTTTCCTGTGTTCCTTTAACTCATACATAAAGCTTTCCATTGTGCTGGTGAGGGACCTTGCTGCTTTGCCGCTCGGCTCTATGAGAATTAGAGCTAGTAAGATTGTGTCCTGGCTGCACGTGTGTGTAAAGATACACAAATGTTTAAAACCATAGTATTTATCCCACTCCCCCTACACCTTTAGCCCTTTACCTCCTGTTTCACATTATCAGTTATACAATTTGTATACAGGTATACAATTTACACTTTTTTTTTACACTCAGCAGAGAAACTATTTGGTGTTTACACATGTGTCTTATTTATTTCACTTAAGAGTATGGCCTCAATAAGTGGGAAGGGTGGGAGAAAGGAAATAAGGGACAAGAAAAAATATGAGAAAAGGAAAAAATGGAAACAAAATGTTTGTAAATAGGGAAGGGAGGAGGGGGTAAAGGGAGGGCAGGGGGTATGGGGGAAAAATGAGAACCAAGACCTGTCGTGTAAAGGTACAAGATCCCAATGATGAATGTAACTGCACTGTACACCCAAAATGTACCAATAAACTCAATGAGTTATAAATAGATAAATAAAGCCATATATTTAAATTTATATACCAAAATGTAATAAACATTGTTTGTATCTAGATACATCCTTGATGAGTAGTTCTGAAGCATATTTTCTTCTGTTTCAGCTCCTGGAACTATGAAAGAACTTAACTTCAGGATTTTCCAAAGCCCATTAGTCAGACAGACCAAGAGGATGCATGTTGCCCATGCTACAGTTGCTGATGGTGCCCCAAGGGAGCTCCAGTCTTTGACACTCAGTCTGGGGCCTGCAAACAAGGCTGTGGGTTTTCCTGAGGACTCCAGGATTGCCGCAACTTCAGCCACAGCCCACTCCTCACCCTCTGTGGTAGAACTGCGGAGAAACAGTAGCATAACCAAGAGCCCACCAGATGAAGAATCCATCAAGCCATCCACGAAAAGTGAATTTGATATTACACCTTTAAAAAGGCAACATGATTCCCTGAGTAAGTATTCTATCTTTGCTTGATCTCTTAGGGCATTTCTGAATAGTTGAATTTTCTCAGGAGTCCTCATCAAGACCATTTGGAATCTTCAGAGGGAAGGGAGCTCTTTAATGTTTTTTGTTTTGTTTTGTTTTTTTGATTTTTGAGATAGGATCTCACTATGTAGTTGAGACTGACCTGGAACTGACTATGTAGCCCAGGCTGGTCTCAAACTCACAGCGATCCTCCTGCCTCAGCCACCACACCCAGCTTAGGGAGCTCTTTAATGTTAATAGCTCCTTTATTTGATAAGGCACCTTATTGCATTAATTTTCCTTCTTGTAAGAGCATGGTAAAGTTAAATAGATGTCATCCTTCCTGCTGTGTCAGGAAATGAAGGCTCAGAGGGTTTAAGTAGTGTGTGTATGTTCTTTTCACACTACAAAGTGATCTTCAAAATCGGAGTTGGCCCACAATTTACAACAAACTTCAGTGATTTTGTGTTTAGATCATCTTCACAAATAAATGTGTAGATATAAACATAGTACCCAATTCCACTATTTGGCCTAGTTCCTATAGTTGATTTTTTTTTTTTACTATGCTTTGGAATCTTTATTATTACAACTATTTTATTACAACTGTTTTATTATTACAACTGCTCTGTATACTACATTTACACACATAATCATTGGATATAATGACATACTCCTTTGAAATACCTTTTGTGGACAAGAGAATAAAACACTCAAGCTTCTAAGTTACTCTGCTATTTGCATATGTTTTTCAAAAGTTTCCTGTTCACTCACTTTTAGTATTGCTATCTTGTTAAAACACCTAAGACTTTTGAAGTGATTATTTAGAATATGATAGTGCATGTCAGGTGACACATATAGTAAGTTCTATACGTGATTCCTTAAGAAAGACAATCTTTCCTTAGCAAGGACTCACTTCTTAGTTGTTGAAGGATCATTTTCATATCTATGTAATGGCATTTTTTTCTATATTATTTGTAGCCTCTGGAAGCCATCAGCTTGCTAGCAGCCCAGAAGCAGGAAATAAAAATCCCATGCCTCACACTGAGACTGCATCTAAGTCAGCCCCTTCTGTTAGAGGCGGAGAGAGCACATCACAGTGGTTCTTAACCAATAAGACATCTACAGATGTGACAGGAAGTTCTGCTTCATATGATGAAGTTCTGACCCAGTTCTCAGACTCTGCAAAACAGTCCACAGGAGGCAACATAGCACTGGACGAGAGAAGTTACTCAGAGTCTTCCTCACAAAGCCTGGAGTCCTCAGCACAACATGGAGAACATTCAAGTAAGCTTTCATTTCACAGTCGCGTACCACAGGGAGAAGCGAGGGTTGGCATGCTTATGATCCTCTGTGACATCCTGAAGACTACACCGATGAAACAACTCCTTAGGCTCCTCTAGTTTTGTCATTCCGGGCCATTTTTCTATTTGATTAATACAGAGATATCTGTATATCCCAACTTTTTTTCTGGTACACGTCTGAGAAGCTATTGATGTAGTAGCCTCCTCTTCTCACACACAACTAAAGGACTTGTGAGTTGATGTCCTCCTAATCCTCATAGGCGACCCCACCTCCATACCCATCTCATCACAGAGCTTCTGGAAGGTAAAAACATCACCTTCTCATGAGCCATTATTCATCCCAGGTTACTCAGGGCATTCATCAAAAGGTATCTTCCCCTTACTAACAGCTTTGAGACATAATTCACGTTCCATACAATACACTCACTGGAAGTGTGTAGTTTTTTAGTATATTCACCCAGCTATGCAGCCATCACTAATACCTGATTCCAGGATATTTTCATCATTCCTCCAGAAAACTCCACATTCATCAGCGGTCACTTCCTATGCTACCCTCATTCCTGACAACCACTTGATTTACTTTCTATTTCTGCAGATTTGCCTATTCTAGACATTTCCTATAAACTGAATCATATATGGACCTTTGTGTCTTTTGTGTAATGATTTCACAGTTCATCTGTTATACCATATATCAATACTTTACTCCTTTTTAGAGTCGAATAATATTCCAATAAAGATGTACCATATTTTGTCTATCCATTCATCAGTTGACAGATGTTTATTCTTTTCCTACCTTTTAGTTATTATGAATAGAGCCACTTTAATTATTTGGGTACGAGTTTTCATGTGGACATAATGTTCTCTTGGATTTGCCAGATTGTATGGTAGCACCATTAAGTTTTGAGGAACTCCCAAACTATTTTCCAAAGTGGCTGTACCATTTTATATCCCTACCAGCAATGGACAAGGGTTCCAGTGTCTCCATATCTTCACCAACTCTTGTACTTGCTCACTTTTTTTTATTATAGCCATCCTAAAGTGATTGAAGATATCTTGTGATTTTAATTTGCATCTCCCAGCTGACTAATAAGGTCAAACATCTTTTCATGTGCTTATGGCCATTTGTATATCTTCTTTGAATATGTCTATGCAAATCTTGTGGATTATTTTAAAATTGGGTTGTCTTTTTATTATTGAGTGTATGAGTTTTTTGTGTAATCTGGACTGGATATTAGTACCTTACCAGATGTGTAATCTGTAGGCATTTTCTCCTGTTCAATGGGTTGAAATTTGCTTTTAATGGCATTAATATAAAAGGCTTTAATCTTGATGAAGTTCAACTTATCAATTTTAGAAAACTTGTCTCTTTTTTGTGATATTGGAGATTGAACCCAGCTATTTATTTTAAGAGACAAGATCTTGTAAATTGCCCACACTAGCCTTAAACTTGGCAATCCTTCTGTCTCAGCCTCCCAGGTAGCTAGAATTACAGCTGTGTGTCACTACATTTGGCCCAGAAAACTTGTCATTTGATTTTTTTTAAAGATAGGGTTTCAGCCAGTTGGTTTTGAACTCACTATGTAGTCCAGCCTGGCCTGAAACTTGAGATCCTCCTGCCTCATCCTCCTGAGTGCTGGGATTACATGCATGGTCCACAATGCCTAGCTCGATGTTCCTTTTTAATAATACTTTTGGATAATTGTTTTTAAATCCCAATAGCCTTATAGCTTTTACTAACTAAAGCAAAATGTATTAACCTATTACTTAAGCTTTATCTCTCCACTACTAATAACAGCAGCTCCATTTCCCTGCTATGAAAATTCTTTTTTTTTTTTTGGTACCGGCGATCAAACTCGGGTCCTTACACTTGCAAGGTAGGCGGCAGAACCACTGAGCTAAATCCCCAGCCCTGAAAATTCTGAGCTATTAAGGAAAATTATCATTTGTTATTATTCATGGGACCTGGAAAAGCAAATGCTGATCATGAAAGAATGGAACACATATGGGTGCGGAACACTTATCCTTTTATGTCTGTGCATGAGAAACAGATTATCTATCTTGTAAGAAAAAAGAATCATTTTCCACTCTCACCACAGTGGGGCTCCAGGATTTTTATGTTTTTCAAACCATGACCGTAGCTTCTATTGCCTTTCTTTTTTACATTTCTTCAGTACCCTTCCTGTCTATAGTTAATACTTAGTTGGTTCATATTTTGGTTACTTTGTTCTTGTTGATGAGACAAAATACGCTACACCCAAAGTTAAAGGAGGAAACATTTATTTTGGCTCACAGTTTGTAGAGATTTCAATCCATCATCAGCCGGCACCAGGCAGTGTGGCATGGCAGAAATGCATCAGAGAGGAGAAACAGGCCATGGCAAGTAGAAGGCAGTAATAGCACCAAGTGAAAAGCGCCCACAGCAGCCCTCTTTCTGTCCCTATATTTTTCCTAGACTAACTGTCCTTAGGGTGGGTTGCACTCACAGCTAGGGAGGTCCTTCCCATTATCCACTCCCAGAACTATGCCAAACCAATCAGTGGACTGATTGAGTAATCACGCACCCTTAATCCCAGCATCACACAGTCGATCCAGACACCTCTGAAAAAGCCCTACCCACGACCGCATGAGGCTTTGGGGAGACATCAAGACATAAGCCAGAGCAGTTCACGTGAAACAAGTGATTAGATCTTAGAGCTCAGTTGTAAAAAGCTAGATAAGGAGTAACTTTGTTCCTGAAATAATCTCACTGTAGACTAGTATAATGCTTTATCTCTTTTACTCTGAATTGTCCAAAGCTGATCAATTCTGCAATCCAGGCTTTCTGAGTTCTCAGTCCATTTCTTTTTCTAGGTTGAGATTTACCCCCTCTGTTTTAGATCATTACCCTCCACTCTGTTAAGCCTATGCCCTTCCCATCCCAGGCCTTTTTTTCTTTGTCCAGAGAAACTTTGCCCATGAACACTGCTCTGAAGCCTCTCCTAGTTGAGCCTCCGTCTCCTAAGCCCTTCAGTGGGTCACAAATCACACCTCTCTCGTTCCTGGTTTGAAGCTGCTCTAGATCATTGGGTGTCCAGTCCTTGTGCTCATTCCTGTTTGTTAATTTAAATCTGTCCTGCAGTGAATTTATGTAATGCTCAGCTTTATAGCCAGTTTTTCATCAAAGTACTGAGTATCAAGGGATAATGAGGGATGAGAACAGGAAAAAGAACTAGCAAAGAAATTTTTTCTTAGAGAGCCAGATTGTGAAGTTCAGGCCAAAAAAAATTGGATTTCTCTCATTTCTGAAAAGAAGGATTTACTTGGTAATCTAATGTAATACAGTTCCAGGTTTTTTTAGTTTTATAGCATAAAGCATATACCTCCCCAAAGGAAGAAAGGAATATTTACTCAAATATCACATTCCCTCTTCTATCAATAAAATAAGTGCATTAAAGAACTTTTTAAAACTAAGCCACCTTTAACCTCTACCACATGGTGTGTCTCGACCATGCACTAATATTCTAGAACAAGCTCTGAGGAGGACTGCACCTCCCTTGAAGGCTTTGTCCCAATATTCAAAGCCCCAACATGGTTGCTATTCCTTCACCCATCAATTATTTTCCCTGTACCCAACAATTTTTCCTGCAATAATCTCTGTTATGTATCACCAAGCAGAAACTGAAAATCAAATTCAGTGGTTAGGTTCAATGTTGACTTTATGGGGAGATTTGATTCGGTTTGAGACCAATTCCGTTTGCACCCAGAATTGTGGAAAGAACAGAGGTACCGCTGTTCATTCTCTAGGGTAATACATCTTTCCGTAAATCCACATCACCAGAACAGAGGGTCAGACCTGCACCTCCTTTCAGGGTGTCATCAAAAGTGAAGGTTCTCAGAAAGCACACACATGGGGCCGGGGCTAGGGCACCGCATTTAACGGCCGCCTCTCCCCTTACAGCTCTGGAAGACAGCGCAGCGCCTGGCCTCTCTTCCGCCATTCTGGAGAGCACTTCCAGGACGCACCCCCGCGGCTTCCATACCCTGGCCACACTCACCGGAAGCGGGGAACGCACACTGCGCTCTCTCAGTCACATGGGTGCGGTGACCTCTGCGGAGGCGGGCGGCTCTGCGATGGCACCCAGGGAAACTGAGGGCACTTCGCCGCGCGGCAATGCGACAAACGACATGGGCCTGCTCTCACGGTCAACGGCCGCCTTGCCTGCCCTTGGAGGTGGAGTGTTTTTTGTGGCAGCGATTTTTTCCACATTCCCTCAGTTTATCTCTCAGTTTACTCATAGCTTCTTGGGTGATTAAATTGACCGGCAACCCAGAAAGTACCTCAGGACCTCTCTTTACAAAAGAGAACTTTTTGGGTTCTTCTACCTCAGGATGCCCCCTCCCCAGATCCCTGCGCACACTTGCTGAGGCATATGGGATGACGTCTGTTGGAGCCTTAAAATAAAGGAAACCACTGTGGTTAAGGCCAATCTCCTGGGAAAGAAATATCTCATTTTACAGAATGGAAAGTTGGGTGGGTTTTCCTTTTTCCATTTAAGCATGACAATTATTCTATTTGGAGTCTTGAAAGCTTTTCAAATAACAATTTGATTTTATCAGAAATGTCTGCGGAAGGAATCTGGAACTATTCCTTATTTTTAGGCCCTCGTTCCCTGCTTCTCTTATAGTACCTCTTCCACTGCTGCCTCCATCATTCCTCACTGTAGGAAAATCCACTCAGAACACTAGCCTTTCCATGTTGTCTTCATTCAGAGTGCTCAACATTGGGAAATCTCCTTTCCAAAGAAAGTCTTCCACTTACTTGAATTCATGGATAAGATATCTAAAGTCTGTTTTATAGTATAAGTTTTAGAAATTCCCTGTTTATTTACTTGACCTAACTTTGGCTTTTCCCTTTATAGTCACTGAACTTAGCTATGGTCAAGTGAGTGGCACAGATACTGGACAAAGGACTTCCAGTGACCATACAGACCACACCTATGTTTCTTCTACTTTCACCAAAGGAGAACGGGCATTACTGTCCATTACAGATACTAGTTCATCCCCAGACGTCAGTGAGACTTCAACTTCTTATATTAAAGTCTCAGACTCTTCATATCCAGACTATTCTTCCTCTTCTCATGTTCAGACTAAAAGAAGTAATGTTTCATCCTCTGACGGGGAGTACGCTCAGCCTTCCACTGAGTCACTGGTTCTGCATACATCCAACTTTCCATCCTACACACCCACCATTAAAATACCGAACATTTTTGTTCCTCTGGGCACTGATACTGGATCTGTTGGTGACTCGTCTTCTTCAGAGTCCCCTTTGCCTCTGCCCTCAGCATCACAATCCCTCCAGTCCTCATCAAGTTTACCATCAACCAGGACCTCCACGTATCAGCTAAAGTCTACCTCTGAGGTGTCCACAACTTCATCTTCCTCACCATCACTTTTATCAGTATCTTTGATGGCATCTACCCCACTTTCGATCTCACAAGCAACCTTACCACATTCATCCTCTACCCTAGTCCTTTCCAGGACAAGGGAGACATCTGTGACATCGGATCAGATGTTGACCATGGCATCATCCATAGCCGTGAGCCACAGTCAAACAGCAGATCCCAAAAACCAGAGCACTCTGCAACAAGAGAAAATTGTTACAGGAGCAAAGTCACCAAGCCTGGTGTCTCTGCCCACAGAGTCCACCAAAGCTGTAACAAAAAGCTCTCTTTTAGAAGTCCCTTTGCCCTCAGCCTTAACAGAATCCTCCACTGAGCCTGCCCTTACAGCCATGAGCACCAGCTTAGCCCACATGTCTCCAACATTGACAACCACCACTCTGAAGGCTTCTCACCCTCCTGTTATCAGTCCCAGCACACTGTCAAGCACAGAACCTCTTATCACTGGCCCTGGAGCTATACTCACTACAGCTGGAAAACAGCTCTTGCCAACCAATCCTGAAACTCTAGTGCCACAAATCTCAACCGAAGGTGATGTCATCACAAAAAGGAACCAAGTACATACAGACGCTACAACCCAGTTGATCCCTCTGACCAGCATACCCACGTCAACAAAAGAACTGACCACAAAGCTTGGCGTTACAAAGGAATACAGCACTGATTCGCCTTTCCTCGGAACATCACCTTTTCCCAAAACCACAGATGTTTCTACTGCTGAAATGTCGACTCCTAAATCTCCTACCCCCACTGCCCAGAGTAGCATACAGTCACCAATGACACTGTCGCCAGGTAAGATGCATCTCACAAACATGTATTGACTGGTGGGTCCTGTCCAGCACTGATTGCTGCAGGAGGCTTTGGATTCATGAGAATGTGTGGAAATGGCTAGTATTTAAAAGAGTCTGGCAACCTAAAATGCTACCTGTTGAAGCATCATACAATAAAGTTACAGTGGAGCAAAATTTCCCCAAGTTACATGATTGTTTCTGAAAAAAAGAGAAGATAACATTGGCCACATGTGACATCAGTATATTTTGCAGTGGTAGCTTTTAATGTCCTAGAATTGCAATAGTTTGTCAAGCGTGCTTCTAAGTCTTCTGAGTTCAGACCTAGGCAGATATATGGGAATGGATCACGGAGAAACTGAAGTAAAAAAGCTTTAGGTAGCCAGGCATGGTGGCACATGCCTGTCATCCAAGACTCAGGAGGCTGAGTCAGGAGGATTTTGAGTTCAAGGCCAACCTGTACAACATAGCAAGACTCTGCCTTAGGAGAGCTTTAGGTGGCCTGTCTGAAACAGAGTGAGTTGGGTGCCTGCTCTCAGATCTGAGCCCAGAACTTGGGTCAGTCAGCTGACTACTCGGTCACCAGTAGGCCTCTCAATGGCAGAGGGCTTCTAACCCAGCTACTTTTTCCCCTTAAGATTAGATTGCTAGTTGATAAACAAGAATTGGGGAACATGTAAATAAAAAGGTAGTAAGCTAACCTTTTCCTACAATGACTATATGACCGGCCTTCTTTACACTGCACATAAGATTATCTTGATAGCCAAGTTGATATCGGTGGTACAAGGAAAAATAGTCATCCAAATGATTATTATTTAAGGAAATGTAGAAGTAAGTGGGGAAATATATCATTTGATGTCAGTGCACTTTTAGGTTTTCCAGACCTAGGAAAAGTGCATCCGGGGAAGGAGAGATGAGACTGGCATCTACAGGAAGAAGGAAAGAAGAGACATGCTTTGTAGTGAAAGTCAGGGTGTCATACAGTTCAAGCTAGTCAGCCATGATCAACCTAGTGCTGCAGAATTATGATTATTTATTTATTTATTTATTTTGGTACCGGGGATCAAACTGAAGTCCTCACGCTTATGAGGCAGGTGGCAGAACTACTATGCTAAATCCCCAGCATAGTGGTGCAGAGCTATAAAGTACCCCCACCTGGAGCTCTGTAGTGCTCTTTGTGCCAGGGATCTGAACGCCTCTGGAAAATGAAAGGTGGCTCTTTCTTTGGGGAAATTAAGGAGCCCTGCTTTAGGGACGTAGGCTTTATTTCCAAAGAAAAAGTATATACCAATGCCATATGGGTTAATGCATAAGAATCCTTTAAAGTAGACTATAGCCATTGTACTTATGATAGGTATCAGGCAGATATTCACTGGTGTTTGGTTATTAGGTGCTAAGCTTATGTAGGTGATTTTAGGTAATATATAAAGCAGCAATGAAGAATAAGACTATTTGGGGGTTTAGGCCATTTGTTTTCAGGGTTATCCCCTTGGAGTGAGGACTCTTGACTTCTGTCTTTTTCTCATTCCCCCTCCAATATCTTCTTGCAGATGATGCAGTTATGCAGTAGGTTTTTACTTTTCTAAGTAGGTGTCTGAAATCTTTATGAAGCATAACAGGAATGTGACATTGCAGTTACAGAGAGTAAAACAGATTTGTGATCATTGCCCCTGGGGGGTGTGAGTTTAAGATGACACTGAAGTCTGTGTGTCACAGAGCTTCAGAAAATTCAGGTAGGGTCTATTCTACAGTATGTAAAGAAGGGGATCGTCATAGTGGTTATAATTTTCTGAATGATGCCTGATATGTGGAGGCACAATTACATTTGGAGATTTTGGGGGAAAGCTTACCATGGTTTTGATAAAGTCCAAGCAAAAAGACAGGGCAGGTATGTGCAAGCACACACACATGCGCATGCACACATACACAAAGTTAATTTTGCAGCAGGGAGGGTAAACTGATCAGTGGAAAACCCCCCCCATGGTTTTTTTGTTTTGTTTTTGTTTGGTTTGGGGTGTTTTTTTTGTTTGTTTTTTGAGACAGGGTCTCACTATGTAATTGAGACTGACCTGGAACTCACTATGCAGCCCAGGCTGGTCTCAAACTCATAGCAATCCTCCTGCCTCAGATTCCCAAGTGCTGGGATGACAGGCATGCACCACCACGCCCGGCTCCCCCATGGGTTTTAAATTGACATTGATTCAAGTAGAATTTTCTAAGTATCAGAAAGGTAAATATGACAATTACTGAACTGGATGACCTGTAAGCATCATTGGATTTGAACCAGTTCTTGCACTTAGGCATGCAGTTGTCTAGCCACTGTATATGGATACAAACTGATGTTGGGACCCAGTCCTATTGGTCCTGTCTTCTGCATCTCTTGGGACCCCCTTCTATTTTAGTACTGTGGCTTTTCAGGGTGAGTAGACAGAAGCAGCTAAGAATCAGATATTAACTGAAAGAATTAGATAGTTACCTAGAGCTCCCTTTACATTGCCTTTGTGATCGTGTTATTTCTGTTATATGTTTTTAGTCAACAGCTGTGCCACAAACCCCTGTCTTCACGATGGCAAATGCATTGTGGACCTCACTAGTGGCGGCTATATATGTGTGTGCCCCCCCTCGTGGCAAGGAGACAACTGCAGTATGGGTAAGAATAGAAGTAATGTCTGGTGGTCTATGGTATCCTTTCAGCTGTTCAGTAAACTTTGTTTCCTCCAAAATGTAGAATAGTAAGTTTTTAAATTAATACCCCGCTTACTTGACAGTTAACCTGCTTGTGTGTTACCTGCAGGATAACGCGCGACACCATAGTGCAGTGCTGACAGACTCCCTGACATCGTTCTGTTCCTCAGACTCCCTGCACTTCGGCGCCCTGGACCGCGTTCCTTACAGACCCCTTCACTGTCTTCCCTTGGCAGTGACTGTGCTAGCGCCCAGAACTGGTCCCCCCAAGTCTGTTTCTTAAAGCCCTTCCCATGTTAATCCACATGTTATTTGAAACATCCTTAATTCTCCCCTCCATCAAAATCTGCTGTTTTCTCTATACCTCCGAAATGCACCTTTTATTTATAGTTGTTTATACAGCCACCTGTCCCCCCTCGAGAGGTCTCATCTTTCAGGCCCCCCTGTACCTAGTACCATTTGGTTTTTAGTGAGTGCTTTACTAGATTATGATTTTACTGTCTGCCAAAATCATACAATCTTTCTCCTTGGCAGATGTGAACGAATGCCTCTTGAACCGCTGCCCACGTCAAGCCACGTGTAACAATACTCAGGGATCTTTTATCTGCAGATGCCCAGTAGGGTACCATTTGGAAAAAGGAATATGCAATTTGGGTAAGATACTTATTCTATCTTATCATTTATTCTGAATCACAGTATTTTTATAAAGTAATATTTACTGTTTTTCTTTCTAATCAAAATCAGTATTTGTTCAAGGTATAATCTTAAATATAGAAGGAAGTAGAAAACATTGCCTATCACCTTAACATTCAGAAATATAACGATAAACCGGGCGTGGTGGCACATACCTGTAATCCCAGCACTCGGGAGGCTGAGGCAGGAGGATCGCTGTGAGTTTGAGACCAGCCTGGGCTACATAGTGAGTTCCAGGTCAGTCTCAACTACAAAGTGAGACCCTGTCTCAAAAAAAAAAGAGAAAGAAATATAAAGATCACTTTATAGTTTTTAATATGCATTTTTACATAGTTGAAATCACAAAACTTCTACAAACTTTGTATTTTAAACATTTTCCTTTTACTAAAAAATATTACACAGCTATCTTAATGGCTGTATACTGTTATCACTTGCATGTAACATTCGCTTAACCATTCTACCCTTCGGTTAGGGAAAAAAATCAAAAGGATATTCTCATACATACTTTAAAAAAATAGTGTAGGGGAAGAAAATAGAGAATAAAACTCAGATTGTCTACCACATGCACAAATTCTTTACATGTTAAAAAAAATGGCCTTCGTGATCTTATGTATAGGCAGATACATTTTGACAAAGCTACTCCTGTAATTGTAACATACTGTCCATCATAGTTTATTTCCTCATTTGATATATTCATGAAGCTGTTTGGTTTTAAATGCAGTGTTCATTTTATAGGTTAAAAAACAGACAAATCAAATAACTAAGACCTTCACAACATGTTGAGTGGCTAAGTTTATGTAACTGGTTGGTGAGAGGCATAGTTTCCAACTCACATTTCTTTCTGTTACATAATAATGAGTTGATTCTAAGAGCTTTATTGCATACAGGGTATGATCCTTGGTAGGGATCTCAGTTTAATACCCAACTTTGTAAAGAAATTAGAATAAAAATACCGAGCTTCTAAGTGGGAAGAGGAAACTGGCAGATAAAAAGACTGCTATTTGAATCATCTTAAATTGCCCAATGGGATACTTAGTACCCAAAAGTGCTCAGTGAATGTTTTTGAGAGTAAATTATGTATCCTTTGAAAGTATTATCTGCACAAATTCCTATTACCCATAAGGATAAGGGACCTTGTAAGAAAGTTGATACTTGATACCCTACTAAAATAACAGTAAAAGTTTAAAAATTATTTGGAATATAAGAAGTAAACACTCTTCAAAAAAAAAGATCTAGACATACAGATATCAGTCAAAATCAAGAATCCTTCTTATTCTAATCATTTATTTGCATTTGGATAACCTGTCCCTTTTAGCCATACCTTATAAGATATTAGGGAAGGTGGGAAGGTAGGGGAAAGGTAATAAGGGAAAAAAGTATATGAGAAAATGAAAAAATGGAAATAAAGTGTTTGTAAATGGGGAGGGGGTGAGGGGGTGAAGGGAGGGCAGGGACAAGGGGGAAAAAATGAGAACCAAGACCACCTGTCATGTAAAGGTACTAGATCCCAATAATGAATGTAACTGTACTATATACCTAAAATGCACCAATAAACTCAATTAAAAAAAAAAGAAATACAGATTAAATATAAAAATTAAAAAGGTATTAGCCAAGAGTTTTTAGTTTAAGAAGAAGGAAGTTGGAAATGACTTTGTTTTGAAGTACACTTACCCAGGGCTCAGAGGCCACGTATCTAGCTCCAGGGCCACCACCTATATATCGCACAACCCCCAGCCTCAGTTTCTTCATCTGTAAAATCAGATTACAGTCTGCTCTGCTTCCCAGTCGAGATTATTGTGACGATCGAATAAAAACTATTGGAATAAGCTTTGAAACTAGTAAAGAGGTATCATCAAACTCTCAGACCAAACTTAAAGCTATAAAAACAAACTACTCTGATACAGAGGAATAATAATGAATATTTCCAATTTTTTTTTTTTTTGGTACCAGGGATCAAACTCAGGTCCCTGTGCTTGCCAGGCAGGGAGCAGAACCACTGAGCTAAATCCCCAGGCCTCCAAAAATTATTTAGATAATGCAGCAGTTAAATGCTGTGTTTAATTCACGGAGCAGTCAATCAACAGTTAAATTTGAAGTAAAAGTTCGTATTAGGGCTGGGGATTTAGCTTAGTGGTTCCACCACCTGCCTTGCAAAGCACAAGGTCTCAAATTCAATCTCCAGTACCAAAAAAAAGTAAAAGAACATTTAAAAAGTTCATATTAAAGCTGGATGATGTAACGGCAGGCGTGAAGATATAAATGTCTTTAGAAAAACCCCTCCCTAGAAAGATTATGGGCTTTGGGAGGCCACTGATGCAGCTTCATTCTCATGCTGAAAGCAGCGAGCCCTCTGACTGTCAGGATTCAGAAAACTTCCCTACCCTCTTTGCGCAGGCACGATTCTGCTGTGTGTGTTTCTAAAGGGAGAGTCTGGGAAGGAACCTAGACGTGGTGGAGATGAAGGAATAGGGTGATTGTTCTGGAAGCCTGTACACAGTGTCCCACAGGTAGCACAGATGAGGAGAGCAGTTCCGTTGTGTTAGCGATCATCTTTCCCTTTTCAAGTCACTCAGCCTCATTGTTCATAAACATCAGAGGAACGTGCAAATTAGAGCACACTGAAATGCTTTCATTTGGCCAAGAATGTTTTCAAAGAGCTCCCTGCTGCTCAGAAAGAGTCCTAAGCAGCTGGCTTCACTGAACTGTAGAACAAGCAAAAAGATGTTAAATAAGGATTAAGGGCTTCAGACAGTTAAGTGTAAGATGTTAAATGTTTTCCCTGGCTTATTTGTGGATCTTTTTCTTAATTCTGCATGCAAGCTTTCCACGAAAGAGCAGCTTCATGGGCTTCTGTGTTTGGGTTATTTTTGTGTGTCCGTCCAGAGGGAAAGATAAGAATTTAATATAATGAAAGATGAAAGCCAGATATAAAGCAGGCTATGCTAAGTTTTGGTTGTCTGCCCATTTCTAAGTCCCATCCCTCTCAGGCCCAATCAGCACAAATTGGTGTTAACTAGAATTTTATTTTATGAGAGAAATGGGCCTTGAAAATGGGGCTGTTTTCTTTAATTTCTGAACCCAGTAGTGTCTTGGATATGGGTTATGTTCATTAGGTGGCTCGTAATCATGGAGTCTGGCAGACCGCAGAGTACAGGCTCACTACAATTGCTTGGCTTCTTTCTGTGTAGCCTGCTGGTTGTTCTCAGAACATCATACACTTCAGGGAGCAGAGGATCTAGTAAGAAAATAAAACCTTCGAAGATGGCTGCACAGGAGTCTGACTGCTGATTTTGACCCTTGTGAGCTGAATGATGTTTCTTAGGAAGTTACCTAACTTCTGGAAGCATTTTTTTAAAATAAGTGATAAAACAGCCATTTCCTCTGGGCATAAGCAAGGGGGGTGAGGGTGACTCTAATGAGGAGAGGAGACCAAAGTGCCCCTTTGAAGTAAAATAAAGATCTTAGAGCTCAACAGCTTTCTTTAGTCTAAAGTCTGTCGAGGCCTGATGAATAATTTTAATGTCTGGCACCACATCTCCACCCCTTCCTCCCAGAATTATATTGTTTAGATCTGCTCATCTTTCTTCATCACAACTTTATTGAGCATCTGTTTTGTAGGAGGCCTTTAGAGAGATGTCCAGAAGGTGCCTTTTCTCAGCAGTGCTTACACAGACACAAAAGGCTTCTCAGAGTCTCCCACCCACAGAGTTACTCAATCTCATTGTTCAGGTCAGTCCAGTAGATTGCTCACTTTGCTAGAGAGGAGCCTGGAAGAGGCAGGAGCAGTCTCCACCCTGGAGGAAAAAGAAATACAGAGATCATCCTGTAGAGGAGGATAAAGCTGGCTGCCCAGAGTTTCACAGACACACAGCCTTGCATAGGTCTTTCTGTTGCATGATCTAACAGGTAACATTTTTGTTTTCAGTTAGAACCTTCGTGACAGAGTTTAAATTAAAGAAACAGTTCCTTAATACTACCCTGGAAACACATTCAGATGTACATGAAGTTGAAAATGAGATTAGCCAAATGGTAAGTTTCCTTAAAAGCCTCTGTGCTAGTCCTTTGTTTCCCAGAACAGATTTTATTCAGAGTTGTGGACTGCCTAGGGATCACCCCTGTCTCTTGGGATTTTCTTTTTTTATTTAATGTGTGTGAGGGAAATCTCATGGTAAAACACAAAGCCTCTTGAAAATGAAAGAGAGGTGTTGAGAACTAGAAGTATTTCTTCAAATGTGTCTTCACATTTAGTCTTCACTGCCATTGTATTTCTTTTCCATGTGCAAACTCTTAAACACAGACATAAAGGCCTCATGTACCAATGAGGGCTGTCAGTGAAGAGGGAAGATCCAGTGCTATAGAAATATCTTTCCTTCTAAGATAGTGCAGAAATTCACAACCTGTGCAGAGTGCAGTCCTTCACATTACTCAGAGATTGGTGTCTTACCTGACTTGGATTTTTTTTTTGTCTAGTATCACTGTATCATTTATTGGTTATGTGGCGAACCTGCCCACAAGAAGCAGTAAAGAATTAAGCAGTAAAGAATCAGGAAACCACTTGCATGGTCTTCCCCAAGATGCCATTCTGTTTAGTAGTACTTGGGGAAGAGGTTATTAACATAAGCACTTGATAACATTCCACACTTGGCTCCATCTTCTGAAGAGTCAGATGGCTCTGAGGCTCCGGCCTGACAGACAGATGAGTCTTCATGAGATATGATATTGAGACTCTGTGCTCCATAGAAGAAATCCCCAGTCCCTGTTATGGAGGGCAGGAAGGAAGTAGGCACATACTTTATGGCATAGAGGGATTTTCTGCTCTCTCTGAGGACACAAGGCAAACACTGGGAGAGTAGATCTTAATTTGCTCTCAACACAAAGGCTCTTGACCTACAGAACGTAATTTCCCATGGAGAGCCTTTTTGAAGTACACCTATCTTTGAGTTAGGTCAACTCATTATAGATTATAAGTGCTCTGTGTCGGGCCCATCAGACCTGGGAAAGCTGAAAGGATCTGAGTCTTTTCAGTCAGCTTGTTCACTATGCAGAATCCAAATAAACAGTTGCCTCTGAGTTTTTTGAAACCCTAGGTCTTAGATGAGGTCTGCTCCTTTGAAGATATTTTATATCCAAGGGTGCTGTTCTGAACATCACTTCCTGCCAAGATTTCTCCACTGATTTACTATTTGCCTCTCTCTTTGTACTCAGGGAATAACAGAAAGGCATTTAAGAAGGGAACACACAAAAAAGGATTCTGCTTCTGTGTAAAACTGCCTGCTGATAACTTGATGGCTAAAAAATGCCTATTTTATCCTGAAAACAGGAAACTGGTTCTTGGTCAAAGGCTTTTGTTTAGCTTGCAATTAATGATGAACCTGTTCTTCCTTGCAGTTAAATATGTGTTTTTCGACATTACCTGGTTATATCCGATCCACAGTTCATGTGTCTAGGTAAGAACCAGCCTATGTAAAGGGGAGGCTATTCTAACACAGACGATAGCAACAAAACTGGGCTGTCTTTCCACTGGGCCACTGCGTTGCTCACGGCCAAGGTCACTGGACCTTCATGTACTCTTACTCCCTTTCTGGAGAATAGCAGTGACACTTATTTTTCAGAAGCCCTGCGGCCCACGTGTTATTTAGGTCAAGTAAACACTCACAAACTTTGCCCCTAGGGAGTCCAGTGCATTTGTGACCTCACTGCAAACCAGCTTTTCCCTGGCCTCCAGTATAACGCTGTTTGACCTGAATGATGGGATTCAGAAATTTGTCAACTCCTGCAGGTCCTCTGCTGACATCTGCCAACTCTTGGGATCTCAAACACGGGTCTTTAGAGGTAAGAGCTGTAGAGGTCCTTGGGGAGGACCCTGCCTACACATTCAGACGCAGACCTAGAGAGACAGGGGGCTCAAACCCAGGAAAGCTCATCAGAGAGCCTGTGGAGTGGGTGTGAAGCAAAAGGTTTTTGTATGTATGCACCTTTGTGGGGCCGTGCATGTGTGCGCACGTGCACACACACACACACACACACACACACACACAGAGTCCTGTATGCACACAGCCTTGAAGACACTTGGCCCTTGGCATGCAGCCCCTTTTATTTCTCCTGTATGATGTAGGGGTAGGATGAAGAGGGATATAGGAGCTGATGTGACAAAGAGAAACTACTCTTGTTCCCTTGGGAGACAAACCCACACACAAGTGTACCTGCTTGTCAGTGACCCAAAAAGCTTCATCATGACAACTATTAAGTGAAAAATGCACACGTAGTATCACCTTTCTTTTTTCATTTATTTACATATTATAAACACATGACACTAGAAGAATATAGGGTAGAATGTTCCCAGTGGTACCAGTAATGGTGATGACTTTTCTTTTCTTGTTCTTGCTTTGTTTTTTCAAAAGCTTCTGTAGTGCGTCTAAAGGTACATGAAGAAAGGAGTGTGAGACAAGTTCATTTGGGTCTTGGAGGGGAAGTTCTACCTCTGGGATGGGAAAAGTGATAGAATCAAAAGTGCTTCTTTGCAAAAGGGGCTGGTCCCACTGGGCACACCATAAGTGATCAAAGTGGGTAACTCATTTTACTGCGGGACTGATGCTGGCAAAGGATGTAGAATGTAGTGTAAGCCTTCGCATCTGACATCCAGATGCTGGACATGAGGTGAAAGTATCAGGCTTTTCCCTCTATCTACTGGTTGATCTAGGACACTCCCAGTGTGTCAGGATTTTGTCACTGCTATTCCAGAGAACTTTCTCCTATGGGCTTACATGTTGTGGATCTTGGGAGCTGGCTAGTTAACCTTTCACTTGGAAAAAGTACTGGAGGTTGGCCGCTTTAAGGGCTAGTTATTAACTTGAAAATATGGACTAAACTTTCTGGAGTTAAAGTGGCTTTCATTTGGGCAGTTGGTTAAAAAGTTGGTGCCGCACTATATTGTGCTGAAAATGAGGCTCTTCAATTTAACTTGTTTCTTTTGCCAAGGATTCAGAGATACCAGTTTTCCTCTCCGTAATTCACTCCATATTTATGGAATACATTTTATGTGGTCAGCACTGTACAGGTCACTCGTTTGTCCCCAGTAAATGTATTTGTGCCCTCCAAATCAGGTGGCAGATATTTGGGTTGGTAAGAGCCTGTTCATAGCAACTGTGCCTGCTCTCTGACTCCTGTTCTTTGGACTGTTTGGATATGGCTTACAGTGTGGCTCCTGTCATCCTTGCTTTCTTTCTGAGGCCTTCATTCTTCTACTTTCAGAGCCTTTGAAAACAAAAATAGCCATGCTTACCAGCTAAAAATGGGCTCACTTGCCTGTTTTTCCTTCCAGATTTTGCCTGCGCGCACGCCCAGCTTGGTCTCTTGGTAACTTTTCTGAGTGCTAAGGAGATGGCTTGACTGGTGTGAGCTGTTGGGCCCTGACATCTGTGCGTTTCCAGCATGTGGAGAGCACTTAGCTATTCTGGACGCTTCCATTGGAAAGGAGGGTTTTCTCCCTTCCATTCACAAAACGTCCACTGCCCTGCCTTACAAAGAACTGCAGTTCTCATGGTCTCCGGAGGTTTACAGACCTTGGAAATCCCCCATGGAATGTCTCCACCCTAGATTTACTTGAGTGCTCATTGTCTGTATGGGCGGATGTTATGCCCAGAAAGGAACATGGGAATCGTGAGTGTAGAAAAATCACACCACCAGACTTAAAATGAAAATGAGATTATATGAAGTGTGGTAAAAAACATGGTGAATGTTTTTTTTTTTTTTTAAATGTGTTACTGTAAAAGACATATTGCCATTAATCCTCTTCAGAATGCACCCCTTTACTTCAGATACACTTACCCTATCACTTTTGACACTTTTTTTAAGTAACTTCAGTTGCATTGTCATGGCTGCCTCAGTGTCCTGAATCCACTGAAAATGTTTCCTTTTCATGGTCATTTTGACTTTGGGGAGCCCGAAGTCATAATGCCAGATCCAGTGAGTAAGATGGATAAGGACACTATAACGTTTTTAGCAGCCTCCCCTCCATTCCACGGCACTCGGCAGCAGCACTCACTATGTTGTATCACACCCTATAGACACAAAGAAGGACCTCCTGAACTGCTTTAGAAAGTGGTAAGGATGATGGGATGAGTGTGTTTAAACAGAAGGGAGAGTATTTTGAAGAGGATGAATGGCAGTGTGTCTTTTACTGCAATACTTTTTTAAAAACTTGAACATTTGTTTTAGAAAGTGGTAAGGATGATGGGATGAGTGTGTTTAAACAGAAGGGAGAGTATTTTGAAGAGATGAATGGCAGTGTGTCTTTTACTGCAATACTTTTTTAAAAACTTGAACATTTACTATATATTTGATCACATCTTGTATGTGGTTTTATTTGATGGCATTATAATGAAACATTCTTTGAGAATTGTTAGGAAAGCAGCTCCTTGCTGCAGAGGTAGAGCCTGCTCTCCCTGCCTTTGCATGAATTTGCTTCTGTGCAGGGATCGGTTGCTTCAGCACAGCAAAGAGTATTTGCCAGCAGCCTAGATCAGCGGGCAGGATGGAAAGAAAACATGACATTGTCTTCCAGAAGATACCTAATCAGACCAGGCAACTCAGGCTGGCCACTGAACAAGGCTAGGGGTCCTCAGATAACTTTTTGTCCTGGAAGTATTTTGTTTTTCCTGTCAAGGGTAGTGGACTGGCAAAGCCTTCAAAGAGTTTAGATGAGGGTAGTGGAGGTTCAATACCTTCCGAGTGCCAGTTTTGCAGCTTTAGCTTGGTGAGTTTTTCCATTAAAAAGTCTCCCCCTTAAATGCAGACTTTTTACAATAAACAAAGGAAATTCAGTTCCACACACATGGGGTTCTGATTAACATGCTCACTTCCACTGATAAAGGCAGGAAATTCAGCGTGGGGAGCTGAAGTTGTGTCCTAAACTTACCTTGCACTGACCAGGCTGCTCACTGGCCTGAGTTCTCCCGACTCACTGGAGGAGGGAATGCGGGGAATGCTGTGTGGGTTGATAAGCCCTAAGGACAGCTCCGCCTGCCCGGACCTGCCCGGCAAGGAGCAGGTTTGCAGTGTTAATGGGTGCCTGCGCATTTCTCAACAGGTTGAGGTTCCCTCAGAGAATAGGGTGGTGGGCCATGCCTAGAAAATTGGCACCCACTCCTCACCACACAGCACATGTATTCTCTTCCCATTTCAGCTTTCCCCCAATGTCAAACTTGCCCTGGCCTCCTGACAGCAGTACACAACTGTCCTGCCTTGCCCTGTCTGTGGGCGTTCGCTGTCCAGTTGGCTTCGTATTTTTGTTCTTCTCTCTGGCTGTGGTAGATAGCTACCAGACCTCTTCTCGTACTAAGTCGTAGGTAGTGCACTGTCGGGGCAGCAGGGAGTGTGCTGGGTCCTCCTAGGCTAGTGGTAGCGAATCTGTGGCATGTATGCTGCAGCAGGCACACAGAGCCCTCTGTCAGCACTCCAGCCAGTCACCCCAGTATCGCCCCAACAGTGCACATTGAGACAGTGTTGGTGCTTTGTGATAAATAAATGGGTTTTGGGTAGTGCTTTGGTGCTCAGTCTCTAAAAGGTTTGCCATCCCTGCCTGAGGCCATACAGACACATAGAACCGAGAGACATGCTTTCACTCCAGACAGATCCTGGTGCTAATGGTCTGTGGTCTGATTCTCTCAGCTGCCTCAGAACATGGTCACACTTTCTCGGTTTGGTCCAGTCCTCCCGCTGCCCCTGCACAGTCCCCCAGTGTAGGAGGTCTAGAACACACCACCTTGAGGCCACATTTGCAGGGGGCACTGCCCCTCCTCCAGTTTGTTGTCTCATTGACTATGTTTTCAGTGAGGAATGCCTGTGAACATTCAGTGCATGGGGCCGGGTCTGACACAGAGCAGGGATGGCAGAAGGCAGTGCAGAGTGACCTTGGAAAACTTTTGAGAGCCTCTTGAAATACCAACTTTATGCATCTTATGTGTTGAAGTGGTCCGGTTTGGTTTCACTGTCTTGTTTTTCCACTCCAGCGGGCAGCTTGTGCAAGCGGAAAAGCCCCCAGTGTGACAGAGAAACCTCCATCTGCACTGACCTGGATGGTGTCGCCCTGTGCCAGTGCAAGTCAGGCTACTTCCAGTTCAACAAGATGGATCACTCCTGCCGAGGTAGCAACAGGTTCACCTGCTGTTCTGGGCTGTCCCAGGGCAGGAAGATGCTTTTCTCTGCCTGATCCTTTCCCTCTGTGCTCTGGGTATAACTCTTCTAAACTGGGTTCTTGTTACTTTGCTCACAGCAGGATTGAATACTTTATCTTCTTCGGCAATGGCGTTATCTCTGGTGCATGCTGATCTCTCCAATTCTATTCAAAGGAAAATAGAATGGAATCCTTGTGGGAACAACACCTGTTTTTTGAGGGGTTTTTTTCCCCCCACTTAGAGAAAGTTAGAAAAATAATTGTAATAATTACCAAAGCTTTATCTATTCCCTGGTAATCTTTTAAAATGGAAATATAAGCATGGAGCCAGGTCTGTCCCTTGTAGGGGTAGCTGTGGCTTAGAAGACAGAGCACTGGACTGAGCCCCAAAAGCTTAAGGCAGAGCCACCCTTCCTCACTGAGTTTCATTTTCAGGCAAGTCAGTTCGTTTCCCCAAGCCTCATTTTCCTCTTACTCTGGGAAAAGAGTGTAATGGTACTTCATTATTCTTTTTCTCTTTTGGGAAGGGGGAGGGTACAGGGTTTCGAACTCAGGGCCTCCCACTTGCCAGGCAGGTGCTGTACCACTGAGCTACATCCCTGGCCCTCATTAGTTATTCTAATTAAAAAGGAAGCTTATGGAGAGGTACTTTGTAAACCATCAGAGTTTGCTCTTGTATTTTACCCATGCTGGTGTTGAATTAATGAGTTACAGTTTTAAAGGTTTCATGAAGTGTTTGAGAGCTGAAGTCTAATTCTGCTAACCTTTTAGGTGAGGTTTAAATTACTCAGTTTGAGATATAGACTGCTCAGTGGGTATATCTGAGAAGGCTGCTTTAAAATAAAATTAATTCAGGTCCAGAGCATGGTATACTCTGACACAAAGACTACTGCAATTCGTCATCATCACGAAAGCTGGCACTATAAATATAGGCAGGTTTTTGGTTTTCTTATGCAGCTTGAGGCATTGCCTCCCATTGGAATGAGGACGGCACAGCGCTCCTGCTCAGTCAGCACCTTGCTCGTGACAGATTAGTGGGATCTGAGTAAAAGACACACACTAGGGCAAAGTGACACACCGCTTATTTCTGTCAGGACTTCCACCAAAGGACTTGTTCCACGAGAAGAATGTAAAACTACATTCTGGGGTGGCACTGACATCCTGATCGTTAGACCCTCTGACCTTTTAGGTTTAGGTACAGAGTTCTTCCAAAGTGGACATCATTTCTTCAGGCAGGACCTGTGGTGGGTTTTGAAGAAGGCCAGCTTTCCGACTCGGGCATCACCACAATGTGCGCCTGCTCTACAGTGTTTCTCGGTGCCGTGGCAGACTGCTGCTTTGCTACAGAGATAGCCCTTCCTGGCTCCCTTTCACCTGGTCTACTGCAAGTGTTCCTGGACCTTCTTGGAACTGGGGAGTTAGCAAGAGTGAAAGTCATCCTCTGACAGGAATACGTGCACACCCAGGTTTATAGCAGCACGATTTATAGTAACTGTATCTGGAAAGAACATGTATATCCATTGGCAGATGATTGGATAAGGAAAATGTATTTACAGGCTGAGGCATTCATAGGAAAGTGGATGCAACCTGAGAATGTAATGTTACGTGAACTAAGTCAACGCACGAGCTCAAATACCACATGGTTTCCCTTATATGAGAACATGTATATACACACACAAATAATGAGCAAAGTAGAAGAGAGATATGTAGGACACAGGGAGAAGTTCAAACACTTACTCAAATTACAAATTCCATTGTTTTAAAAATATTTCAATATATATGCTAATAGGTTTCATTTATGATACTACTTTATATTAGTTCACTGGAAAGAAAGATTTGGGTTTTTATCTGTTTCTTTTTTGTAAGCATCTTTTTGGCTTATGTCTTAGAATTCGATAACTACTTTGAAGACTAATGACACACAGTGTTAATAACTTGTTACTCTCTTATTATTTGAAACAATTACAAAATTTTGTGTTTTTTTCATAAAATAAAAAAGAAAGAAATGGGGAATTGAGCCTTGCTTCACATGGGAAGGTAAGGGTGCTGAAACCCATGTGTGCTGGGGTGCTAAGCAGCGGGCAGGAGGGGACTGTGGGTAACAGTGTAGGCAGTGTCCCAGCCTAGCAGTAGCAGTAACAGAGCTGTCAGAGATTAACCAAGGGGAATGACCTAGGTCCCAGCAACCTTATGTCTACCCAGTATGGACCCAAGAAGCAGTAATAAAAAACCTTGATTAGCTTGTGTGCTTGTTGCCCAGGCTATGAAGCCCCTCCTTAGCAGTACCCATGGCTGTCAGCCTCCCATGAGTGGTTGCCAGAGCTGTCAGCTGGGTTCTCATGGGTTAGTAGTGACATCTTCTGGCCATCATTGCTAGGGCACAGGCGTATGTCAAATGATCATCCTTCTGGACACCTGGAATCTGGTCAGTTCTCTGTGGAGATGGAGGAATGATTTCTCTTGAATGATTTCTTTTTCACCTGGAATCTGGTCAGTTCTCTGTGGAGATGGAGGAATGATTTCTTGAATGATTTCTTTTTTTTTTTTTTTGGTACCCGGGATCGAACTCGGGTCCTTGCACTTGCAAGGCAGGTCACTGAACCACTGAGCTAAATCCCCAGCCCAGGAATGATTTCTAAGTGTGCATTTCAAGCTAGTTTTTACACTGCTATTGGCTGTATACACATTTATGTTTCTTAGTGTCTCACATAAAACAATTTTACAGCATCTTTACCAGACTTTGAAAGCTAGATATAAAATTAAAACAGGTATCCTTGCTATAGGCTTCTTAGCTTCCTTCCGTGAAGCAGGCGTTAGGATGAATTCTAACAATCTCTTTGTATCTCTCCGGGCTGCAGGTACCTTGAGGGCCAGGACCAGGTCTAGAACAGGGCTTAACACATCATGGGGTTCAGTAAATGTCTGTTGAATGAACACATGGACAGTAAGACAGCAAATATAGTAGGAAAAGATCAACACATCTTGATTTACTGCCTGCAAAGGAACAAAAGTGTTATTATGACTCAACCATTTACTTTGTGTATCCCTATGGCTTTAATTTGCCTGTTTCCCAAAGCAATGGGGGAAGCCCAGTTTGGGCATTTATGTAAGCTGTTGTCACATGCATTTCATCTTCACTGCTGTGCAGTCAGACTCCCTCTAGGAAGTGTATGGTAAGAAGCTGGCTCCTGAGGAGTGCAGGAGTGTGTTGGTGCAAGGTAGCATTCAGTCTTTGATGAATGGGTGAATGAGCCCCTTTGAAATAGACACCAAGGAATCAGACTGCTTCTGCCACTAAATGAAAATATCCCAAGCTATTGGCTCCCATGCAGGACAACAGATAACCCTTACACACAGCTGCATGACAGCCAAGGAGTAGAGAGCAGGTGAGAATTACATAGAGAAATTTGGCACAAAAACATTTTCAGGAGAGTTGAGAGTACAACAACCTGGGTGACATCAGCCCGCCTCAGCACCCAGGAAAGGCAGGGATACCAGCCTATTCCTTCAAGAAGATCCACTGTAGTAAGGCCAGCAGAGAGCTCAAAGCCATCAAAGCCTGGGAAATGGGGTCTTATTACCTTTTCCCCAAATGTGAATAACTTTCTCTGTCTTGTTTGCATAAAGAATCTGAAGCACCTAATAAAAATTCATATAACAAAATAAGATTTTAGAATATTAAAAGGTAAGTTAGGTTGAAGGGGAAATTAATTTTTAAAAAGAGCCAAGTTCTATGAAACAAAGGACCTTTGTTTAGGAGCACCTCCATCTTCCTAAGCACTGGGGCTCCCTCATGAATAGGTCACGGAGTGGTACTGTGCCAGTGTGGTCCATGACATCCTGTACTAATGCCATTAGGATTTTCTAGCTACTTGTGATAAATACCGCTCAGTGCAAGAGAATGCAGCTTGGGAAAAATGATTCTGTGGAACACTAACAGTGCAGTCCATGTTCATGGCTCTTCAGTAATCTGCCATGAGATAAATTATACATACATCATGTGTTTTGTTTTCTTTTTGTGTTTTGTTTTTTGAGACAAGTCTGCTAATTCACTAAGTTGTACATGCTGTGCTCAGACTTGCAATCCTCCTGCCCAAACTTCCCAGAGTGCTGGGATTATAGGCATGCACCACCATGCCCAGCTCAAATTGATTATTTAAAACAGTGTTTTCCAAACCGTGTTCCACGAAACTCTAGTGATGACAAATGATTGATGAAATAAATAGATGCTGGAAACATTTAACCTCTCAAATTAAAAATGTCGAAGGAGCCAGGGATTTATCTTAGCGGTGCTATACCTGCCTCACAAGCACAAGGTCCTGGGTTCATTCCTCAATACTAAAAGATAGTAGAAGGAAAAAATATTAAACATGTTTACACAGTTAATACTGTCATGCACTATTCTGCAACAGAGGGATCTGCAGGGCCTGCACCCCACCCCGCCAGTCTTATCTCTCATCATGCATTCTGCGGTTTTCACAACTCAGTATCAGTGTGTCTGCTGCCTACCTGTTCAGGGATGGCAGCCTCAGTCCTCTGTACCTTTTCTTATCTGTGATCTTTTTTGTGCAGTTTATACCGTACGTTAATCATGAATCAATTTTTTTATCATTCCTCGCAGCAAAGAATTTGTCTGCAAGACCATTTTTTTCATTGTCTGCTTTCATCCAAGCATGCATTACCGCTCATGGTGTTCTGTTGAATTATTGTAGTGTTGAAAGTATTCTGTGATCAAATAAATTTGGGAACTGCTGATCCAGGGGAAGAGCCGGGCCTCGGCCTCTTCAGTGAAGCAGCATTCCAGGAGTGGCACTGTCAGAGAGTTCAAAGTTATGTTTGGGGGCAAGCTGTCAATTAGGACACATCTAGATAGGTCCAGATTTCCTTTCAGATTATAAAGTGAGGATTTTCTTATTAAAACTGGACACTACCAGGACCGTTTCTCAGAAGGTATCATCCACGACTTCCACCTCATGGAAGAGGGCTAAGGAGACCAATGTCAGGTTAAAAGTTGATTTTTACATCAGAGAAGGTGAAAGATTAAAGATTTACCTTTGTGCATATGAAAGGATGTTCCTCAGGAGACCTTTTGTTTTGGTGGTTCTGGGGGTTGAACCCAGGGCCTTTACACTGAGATACATTCCCAGCCCTTTTTTTATTTTATTTTATTTTACTTTATTTTTTTGGTACCGGGGATAGAACTCAGGACCTTGTATTTGCGAGGCAGGTGGTGGTACCACTGAGCTAACTCCTGACCTGTCCCTTTTTTTTTTGGTACTGGGCATTGAACTCAGAACTACTGAACTAAATCCCCAGCCTGCCCTTTTTTATTTTTGAGACAAGGTCTCACTAAGTTGCCTGCACTGGGCTCAAGTTTCGTTTCCTCCTGTGTCAGCCTCCCAGGGTTCTGGGATTACACATGTGCCACCATGCCCAGCTGAGATATTATCTATAGAGAACTTCCAAAAAGAACTTGAGGGCTGGGGATTTAGCTCAGTCGTTCCGCCGAGTGCCTCGCAAGCACAAGGACCCAAGTTTGATCCCTGGTACCAAAAAAACAAAAAACAAACCAAAAAGAACTTGATGATAACAGTTACAACTACCAACTTTTGAATAGTGGTTGCTGTGTGCAAGGCCTATGCTAAACCATTTTGTGTGCTTCATTTTACTTCAGTTTTGTTATTGTTGTTAGCACCTTTTCATAGACGGGAACTGAGCCACAAAGAGGTTAAGAAAAGTTTCTTAATGAGGTGAAGAGCTGAGCTGGCAACAGTGTTTAGTTGGGTTATAGATAATTTTAGTTATTTGCAGCCTTCTGGTTCTAGAATATTCTTGTGGACAATAGAACGAGTGGCATTTAATTCATGTAGGTTGACCCATGGGGGATAAACAGATACATGAGTGGATTTTCCTTTTCATCTTTCAGCTTGTGAAGATGGATATAGACTAGAAAATGAAACCTGTATGAGGTAGGTCCATGTTCATTTATTCTGATGAAGATGTTGCAAATTTTATTGTAAAACTACCCTAAAATAAAGTCTATCCTAATGAAGAACTAACCTAAGAAATTACTAGGGCAAATTGCTTTTATCATTTCATTTGAGATTTGTTCTTTTTTCTCTCTTAATTTGCAGTTGCCCATTTGGCCTTGGTGGTCTCAACTGTGGAAATCGTAAGTACACAGAAGTAGAAAGCTGTGTTTGGGCCGGGGCCTGGCTCATTTCCCTCACTTTAAATCCACAGTCTTCTTAGATCCTCTGCCGGGTGACATGGGGAGGACAGAGAGAAAGACTTGCCTGACACAGTCTAGGCCTCACAGCATGGGAAAGGAAGTAAACATTCCTAAGTAGTCCTGGCTATGGACTGTGCTGAGTGTTAAGGAGAATCAGGCACAGGGTGGGAGGCAGGGAGGCCAAGGCCAGGCTGAAAGGAGTTTTTCTTGAAAGAAAGGAATTGGGAGGAAGTTTGACATAACAGGCAGGGGGAACCACTTAAAGGCTTTGGGGCAGCAATGGGCCCGAGTTGTTCTGGGACAGTTGTGAGGGGGCGGCTGGAGAATAGAGAAAGGCGCAAAGTGAAGGACTCAGTTGGCAAAGGACCGAGGGACTGGAATGTTTGATCGCCGGGCTGAGGAGTTTAGGCTCGAATGGTAACTGTTGAGAACTGGCAAGAGTCTTAGCACAAGAAAGCCGTCTGGTTTTAACCTTTAGGAAGCAGAACAACTTAGCTGCAGCAAGCAGGAGCCTGGGGCACAGTGTAGAGACCTCAGCACGGTGCCATCTGGGGGTCAGAACTACAGGCCGATTTGGGAGTCACCTGCTCTAAGTTGAAGTCTGTGCCACTGAGCTGAGGCAGAGGGTGCGGCACGAAGCAGTGGAGAGCGCTGGCAGCAGCATGAGCACGGTGTACATCACACTTCATTCAGTTCTTTGAAAAAAACAGCTGTGATTCATTTAAGATCACTTGCACTGACATTTTCATACATGCATTGAGACACTGGACATTGTGGAAGAAATTTTGGCATATAGGACATAGCAGAATGTCAAAGGAATAGTAACAGTTGAGACTATTGTAGGATAGCATTGTCCTTCGTTCTGCAGATGAATGTGCTAATAGCACATATTCAGAGTTTACTAGAGTAAAAATGGTATGATTTTATTTAATTGTGCCTCCAGTTCCTAGTATTAAATGGTATACTTTTCCTTCTATGTCCTCTGTGGTATTTTCTTTATTCATAAAGCTTTTTTATTAGCAAATCCATGACTGAAATTTGAACATAAATGAAAAATAAGATAGAACAAATTCAACATTGGGTTCAAAGCTGACGAACTCCCTTAGTGTACCCACCGTGGAGCCACTCTCAGGCCAGGGCCTAGAGATTTGCAATTGCATATCCAGTTAGGACCCCTGACGACTTTGCTCATCTGATTCTTCTTGACTGCACCGAGGAGAGGTTAGGGTAGAGAGCCTGAGAACAGGACTAGGGAAGCACTTCTAGAAACAAATGTATCTAGAGTCTGAATAGAGAGGTGCTCACAGAATTAACGTTCACTTAAAAAACTGAGTAGTGAACAACTGTGTACTCTTTAGTGGTCCCTATGGATGCCATGGTGACACAAAGCCTTGTCATACAGATACTTGTTAGGATGGGCTCCAGTCAGCCCTACACCCTATAGTATCAGTGACTCAGATTAATAAGGTGAGGAAATGGTCACATTTCAGATGTCTTAAAAAACTGGTCAAGGTTCTTGAGTCTGCTTAAAAGGACAGGCTTCGGTTTGGGAGGATTTGACTTATGAAGAGCAGTCCGATAGCAATACGTATTCTTTTCTAAAATTCCTTTTGGCTGGAAGCACAGCTCAGTGGTAGAGCATGTACTTGGCATGCACAAGGCCCTGAGTTTGATCCCCAGCACAGTAACATCTTTCATTTTTATTGTTTGTTTTTTTCCGTCTCTTGCTATCCATAAACAGAGAAAGGTTTTGTTGTTGTTGTTTGCCTTTTTGAGATACTCATGGAAAACAAGGCTAGAACAACATTCTTTAAACAAGACCAAAATAACTGGAGGTTTCCCGGACAGTCAGGTGCCTGGCTCCGAGCAGGCTCAGTTTAAGAAACATGGCTGTAGACACTTGCAGGTGACACTGAGGCAGTGACTGTGTGGGGGCTAGGGCCAAAACATGCACATACTGAATTAATAATCTAGATTTAATCGAAGCAGTTTTCATTTGGATTTTCAAATTACTCTTCCTAGGAGCTGGGCGTGGTGGCGCACCTGTAATCCCTCTGAGGCAGTGACTGTGTGGGGGCTAGGGCCAAAACATGCACATACTGAATTAATAATCTAGATTTAATCGAAGCAGTTTTCATTTGGATTTTCAAATTACTCTTCCTAGGAGCTGGGCGTGGTGGCGCACGCCTGTAATCCCAGCACTTGGGAGGCTGAGGCAGGAGGATCCCTGGGAGTTTGAGACCAGCCTGGGCTACATAGTGAATTCCACGTCAGACTGAACTACATAGTGAGACCCTGTTTCAAAAACAAAAAAAAAAAAAAAACAAAAATAAAGTACCCTTCCTTGCTGAGGAAACTATGTACTTCATGGTGTAGATTCAATTGGCAAATACAGAATATAGTCTGTTTTCTTAGCCTTGAAGATGGCCAGATAGAGAAAGAGAGAGATTAACAGAGTCCAATTTCCCTTTCTTCTATTCCTTCCTGAAAGCCACACTTACTGTAAACATCAGTTTTGAAAACTTAAACTGAGCAACAGCAGGCAGCTCAGACAATACAAGAAAAAAGTACAGAATTTGAGATCAGAGATGAAGTATATAAAATTATATATATTTATATAGAAATTATAATAAATCAATCATGTTATTATAATAACGTGAGGTATCTATATGCCACATGGCCTTGACAGTGGAAGACACTATACAGTGATGTTCAACATTGCCCTCTTCCCACGGGGACTTTGGATTAAGGATGACTGCGTGGAGAAATAGAGCAAGAAACTCTAGTAGTGCATAAATCACAAGTGATGGTCAAGGAGTTTGGGGGTCGAGAACCTAGGCGTCCTCCTCCGTCCTTTCCCCACCACCCTTGTCGGAGCTGGTCGTAATGACAGTCTGGAAACCGAATGGCCCGTCATCACTCCACGTACACATCAGCAGGTGCACCAGCCACTCTCCGTGGGCCAAGTGGCCGGCTCGTCTGAATATTTGAGGTGAAAGGGCAAGAGAGGGTTACAGAATCTCGCTCCCTTCAGCACTGCATTCTCACCCCAGCCCGCTGTGACATGACTGACAAAGCATTCAGTGAGACTTGCCAGATTGAGGGTGCCGGTCACCGCAGCCCCTTTCCTCCACCTGCTCCTGAAACAGTGCTGCTGCCTGATCTTACCGTGCAAGAGCCAGGTGGATTTCCCAGTCTTCCTGCCTTAGCCATTCCCCCCAGCTTCCTTCAAGCTAGATCATCTCCCAAGAACCTGCTTCTCTAATTTAACCAGAGAAAGGCATTCAAAGCCCCTCTTCAATCCACATTACCCTCTCAGCAGCTCCCAGCAGGATCAGTCTTTCCTGGCTGGCAAGCCGGGACGATCTGTCTAGGCGCTCATCCCATCCCTGCCCACTACATAGAACAGTCCGGTGGGTGAGTAAGGGGTAAGGGAGCCCAAGCACCCTGCAAGCTCACTGGTGATGAGTGAGGACTCTGGGGCAGTCCTGAGGGGTGGGGATGTGGTCAGCAGTCACCAGGTTCTGGTCCTGCACTTGGCAGCTGCTTATTCTTCATCTTGGCTTTGGTCATGTTGTAGTCTCGTGAGTCAGAGTAGTTTTGCCCTTTCTGGAGTGTCTTCATGAGCAAATGAGAGCCTCCGGGTTTTAGTCCTAGGTTGGCTGTTGGGCCTTCGACTTTGCCTTCTCAGCTCTCTCAGGAAGAGACACTCCTGTGTGTCCTCCCTGGCATCCTCTGTAAGGTTCTCTTCTTGCTTCCAGGAGGTGGCAGCACTGGGGCTGTAGCGTGTAGAGGCCCAGGAAGTCAGCTGGGGAGGGGGAGGGGGAGAAGTGGAAACGGCCTCAGCTCCTGTCACTATCAGTTTCTCAGCCGGGTTCCAAGACTTTCCAGTTTGTGTTTGAAAGGGTTCTGTGCTTTCAAGGGGCTTCCTGGGATGCAGAGCTGCATGTGTCCACTTCATAGTGTTCTGAGTGACCCCGTGAGGTCTCCCTCAGAGGTCACTAATGTTGTACTTACTGTGTGTCTGAAGATGCTGGGCCCCACATCTGTTGACTCTTCTGTTAACTTCTTATGTCAAGAAAGAGTCAGGCCATCCCGATTAGTCCCCATTATATTTGTGATAGTCTCAAAGCAGCCAGAAATATATCCTGATCTCTAGACATTATTTCTCCTCTCCATTTATCCAGGGCCCCGTCATTATGGCCAGCAGAGGGCAGACATTTGTCACCACTGCTGACTCCCAGTCACCTTCCATAACTGGCAGTGCCAGCTGATCTCCAAAGTGTGCTGAATATCATTTTAGGCTTTTCGCATCTCTATTACTTTTAGTGTGACTGATGGTAAATATTATTTATAGTACTCTACAAAGAGGCACTTGGCTGTGCTTACTTCAATAACACACATACTCAAGACCCTTGCCAGCTGCCTTCTTTTCTGGTGTCTAGGCTCAGCCCCCGGTATGGGTTAGAGACTTGGGAACATGTGAATTCCATCCCCTTCTATGGTGATAGCACCTTGGTGGTCTGTGATCATCCGTCGGTGTTTTGTGCCCATAATAGAGCTCTCACCACCTATCGTGGTTACTTCAACTACCTACCAACAAGGACAGTGTGTACCTCCCTGGCCTGGGATTCAGGTTTTCAAAGGCAAGAATTGCCTGTTACCTACATTTTAGGCTGCTTCCTTATAACAGTTTTATGATATCTGATACTTTGTTTTGCTTCACCTTTTTCTCTTTTTATAATAAAAGTTATTTTTGTGTAGCATAAAACAATTCATGCCCTGTAATTTTTCTCTTTAACCCAAATAATTAGTAGGTGTAAGAGAAGAAGACAAGTAAGTGATCACATCACCTGTTGTATGTCCTTGCTCCTAAATGTGGTCTGTGGGACCAACAGCATTAATATCACCCAGGAGAGTGTTGGAAATGCATAGTTTCAGCCACCTCCCTGCAGACCTGCTGAATCACAACCTGAATCTTACCAGACCTGGGGATTTGGTTAAGGCAGAGTTGTGTATGTATCCCAGTTTGAGAAACCCTGGTATTAGCCATCTTTCCAGGGTATATGTGTGTATCTTTTTAAAGAAACCAGATCTCACTGAATATACCGTTTTTAAATCTTTTTAAACCTAGTAAACTGCAGAGTTTTCATTTCTATAATTGTGTAGTCACTTTTGATAGCTCTATAATGCTCTACGCTATAATTTACTTAACCATTTCCCTCTAATTATGTTTCGAGAATCCTTTTTATATTCCCATCCTTGAAGCCATTTTTCTGTTTTATGGTTATTGTTGCTTTATGATTATGGAACCCACATAATTTCCCCAGATTGCTTTTTTCTAGCCACAGACATTTTTGTCCACCCTTCTTCCACATTTACCCCATGTCCTTTAGGAAGTCATCCTTTCCCTGCAAAGCCTCTGGATCTCTTCAGTGGAGATGCCGTCTCCGTCAGCCTCCCAGCATAGCCAGTGAGGACCTGGACCCATGTGTGGTTCCATTCCAGAGAAACCAGAACATTCCACTTAAAGCGTTTATATACTTTCTCATCTAGCCTACAGGTGTATAAAATACCTTTTAATTATGTTTGTCCTGTCATTGCATGAGGCTGTAAAGAGATTCAGGCCAGTAGAAATGCTGTGAGTTGGCAGGAGTTACTTTAAACAAACATCCTGGAAGACTGCTTAGAAGGAAAGAGAGACCATTAATTATCCAGAAGTCTGCCAAAAGTCTCACCCAGCTGAGAGTACCCATGTCACTGTTTCAACTGGCCTCCCTTCAGTCAGAACAAAAGGGAAGTATGGTGTAAGAGGGGCAAGTGCTGCTGGGTCTTATCTTCCCACTAGAAAGGACTGTTTGATGAGGGAAGGGGCGGAGCTTCAGGAGAGAGTGACAGAATCCCATGGAAATTTATAGAGGAACCAGTGTCTGCTGGGAGTATTCACATAGCCTGTAGGCAAATTTCAGAAGGTGCCAAGAAAGAAAAAAAGAATGGTGGTGTATGGGCTGGGGATTTATCTCACTGATGCCGTGGCTGCCTCATAAGCATGCAAGGTCCTGAGTTCAATCCTCATTACAAAAAAAAAAAAGAATGATGTAAACAGAGATGGGTGATGTCAGGCATGGTGATGTATACCAGTAAATCCAGAACTCCAGGAGGCAGGAGGATTACTCTTGAGTTCGAGGCCAGCCTGGGAAACTGGGAGACCCAGTCTCAAAAAATAAAATAAAACCAAAACCAAAACAGAAATAGGTGAGGGAAGGAGGGATTTAAAAAGGAAAATTAACCATACATCACTAATGAGCTTGGTGAGGGAAGAAAATGGAAAGAACCCAATGAAATTTAAAGTAAAATATGGCTTCCTAGAAAAGCTATAATATAAACCGGGCGTGGTGGTGCACGCCTGTAATCCCAGCACTTGGGAGGCTGAGGCAGGAGAATCGCTGTGAGTTCGAGACCAGCCTGGGCTACATAGTTCCAGGTCAGACTCCACTACATAGTGAGACTCTGTCTCAAAAAAAAAAAAAAAAAAGAAAAAAGAAAGAAAGAAAAGCTATAATATAGCTTTAAAGGGAAGCATATTGGTTGGCTAAGATCCTTCTGGAATCAATAACCTACTGAGTGTAAGAACAAAGAGAGTTCTGTTTGTTGGGGGACCCTGAGGTACATGATAGAATTCCAGCCTCAGGAGTGGTAGGAATCAGGGAAATGTGGGGAACTCCAGTAGCTGGAAGTCAGGGCCTTCTTTTCAAGCAAGCATACAGCAGTGTGATTTCATCTTCTTATCTACACTCTAATTTTGCTGTCTCTCCTTCCCAGACAACATGTTGGAAAGTAAGAGTTGCCAAACAGTTCTTGAATGTGTGTCACTTATTTAGCTGTTTCAAAAGAAAAGACTCATTTTTCCCTGACTTGAGACTCCTGGGAAGGATCTGGTTGATCCAGTTTGGACGTATGTTTGTTCCCAGACTGGTCAGCTGTGGACAGGAGACACTGCTACATGTACAGGCTTGACCGCCCCTCTGGAGGATATGAATGGTTCCCAGAGGCAGGTTGGCTAAGAGGTCAATTCAGTAAACTCCATCCAAACATAGGCAAAGATGAACAGCCTGTGAGTAGGTGGGTTTGATGGAAAATACTGTGATTAACAACCAGGTGATGAAAGGAAGGGGTTACTGCTTGAGAAACACTGAACTATCAAGTGTCAAAGAGGAAACAGGACTGAGAATTCCAAGTTCTCCATTCTAGAGGACCTTTTCAGACCAGAAGGGACAGGACAGACAAGCTTAAGATGACTATCGCTGCACCTGCCCCACCTTACACATTCAGAGCACCTGTAAAGCTAGTGAACATTACACTTGGCCTTGACTCCCACATACTTTTACATCACAGTAAATCTAAAGGCAATACTTATGCTAAAAAGATCTACTGTGGAATGATTTTTAAAAGATCAGTGGCTGATACTGTCTATCCACTTACTGAAGATTTCTAGTGATATGGCTGCCATAAAAGTTACTCTTTTTTTAAAAAATGTATATGTGTATGCATACATAGTTCCTAAATTTAGAGGAGGGGTGTGTGTGTGTGTGTGTGTGTGTGAATCTAAATAAAAATTGGGAAACACAGAAGAGCATACAGTATAGCAAAAGTTAGCCATAGTTACCCAAAGTACTAACGTCCATGAACATTTTGATGAGTTCTCTCCCAGTTCTTCTGTGTGCGGGAGTCTCCTGGCTTTCATCCCAGCCTTCTCTCCAGTGTGTGTCAGTTTGGCCCCGAGTGAGCTTGAGGGGTAGGTCCACAACATCACCATCCCTTGGAAACTTGCTGGGTGCAGACTTAGGAATTGGTGTTAAAAAGGCGTTCAGGTGAGTCGGGTGGAAATTTGGAAAGCACAGATTACACCAGTGTGACTAAAAGTGTGATTTGTGATGTGAGCTGTTCCTGGACTTCAAAAAAGGAGAAGAGGAAATTCATGACAGTTGGTACCTATGGGGATAGATAAGAAGAGAAAACAGGACTTCATTTTCTTTATGTAAAAAGATATCCAAAAGCACAGGCAAAAACTGGCCCTGGACCACAGGCAGTTTGGGAAGCGGTAGTCTCTGCTGTCTTGTGGATCTTTTAGATGAAACTGCTTGCTGCAAAGAGGAACCTGTTAAAGCTGCAGCAGCCGCATGCCAGGGTCATTTTTAAAATAGATGTTTGCTTTGCTAGAAGTGAGGAGAGAGAAAGGGAACTTGATATTGACCTTTGTCTCATAACAGAAGGCACTGCTGAAGGTTTTTTTAAGCAGGGAAATGGCGTGATCAGACTTGTTTTGTGATGAGTGGAAAAGACCGGGTTCAGGAAGTTGAATTGGGAGGCAACTGTCATTGTGCAGTCAAGAGATGTCAGTAGCTTAAGCGGTGAGGGTGAAGATGACATGGATATGTTTAAGTGGTTTGTCTTTTGTCTTGACTTTTGTTAAAAGGAAACTTCTGAATACATACGTCAAGAGGAGAGACGACAATGAGTTTATTCCATGGTTTGGCTTTGTTCCCTGTTTATGGCAATAGTGGTAGTTTTTTACAATAGCTTCTGTGCTGTTTATTTAAACAAAGCTAGGGAAAAGATTGCATAGCTTGCATCTGCCCATTTTGTGCCCATCCATATACATAGTCTGGTCCCTTCCTGTCTCCACTTCCAACCAGCACTCAGATTGGTAGCTTCAGGAGAAGGGGACTTAGCCAGAGGGTGAGAAAGAGATGAACTCTGCCTTTACCCTTAGACTCCACCTGGATGCCTAGAGAATGTAGTCTGGGCTGATTTGCTATAGACAGTCTGGCTCTTGGCCCTTTGTCCTCCATCTTCCAACCTAGGAATACAATTTTAGCTGCATTTCTACAACAAAACATCAGCATGAATATTTAATAGAATTTATTGAAAATAATTTTGCCAGAAACTGGTATGAAATCCAATTACTTAAAAACTTCTAGTATTGTTTAGGAAATACCATGGGTGCTTGCTTATATCGTTGCTCATTTTTTATGATTAAATTCAGTGTATATTTTTATTGAGGAGCCTACTCACTTTCTAGCATGGTTAAGCAGTGATCTCTAGATCCTGAACTTAACTGACCAATAGTGTTTCTTATAAAATTAGGGAGTGTTAATTTAGAGTCACCACCACCTTCTTATTTTACCAAGTAATATCCTGAAACTACTTCAAGCATTTTTATATATGCTCTCATCATCAGGTCAAAAAATAAACAACAGTTAATACCAGAGAGTGGGAAGTGGCCAAGGAAATCTGGTGTGTTTTCTTTAAAGAGCCAATATCCTCAGGTATCATTTTCACATGATGCGGGGGGGAATCATCCTAAGTTTGAGGAAAAATATAAGGATAAAATCTTAGATTATAGAATTGCTATTAAAATGAAACACATTAAGTTCTGAAACATCCATTAGTCATCTTTATTCTTATCTTTTTACCACGTGTTGGTGAAAATGTCATCAGAGGCTGAAATGCAGGTAGAATTTAGGAGCCACTGTTCTAGCAGTAACTATTGTAGGGGGAGTGCTTCTCAATGTAGAGAAAATGTAGAAATAGCTGTTGAGAATCCCTTGTCAAAGACCAAAGGGTAGGGAAAAAATGAGAACCAAGACCTGTCATGTAAAGGTACAAGATCCCAATGATGAATGTAACTGTACTGTGTACCTAAAATGTACCAATAAACTCAGTGAGAGAAAAAAAAAAAAGGATGGTTGTGGTGGGTCCAGAGGGGACAGTGCCCTCAACTGTGCATTCACCAGTCCTGTTTGTTTGTGTGACCTGTTTAGCCTATCAGCTTATCACTGTGGTCATCGCAGCAGCAGGAGGAGGGCTTCTCCTTATCCTGGGCATTGCACTGATTGTCACCTGTTGCAGGTAAGCGACGAGAGTTCAGATTCTAATTGTTTGCCTGCTGTGCTTATACAAAGGTCAGTTTTTACTCATCTAGAATGCTTGAGGTGAGGATTTTGAAAAATTAGAACACTTCCACACAGCTGTGGGAATATAAAATGGTGATGCCACCTTGAGAAAGTCAGATAGTTAAATACAGCCCTTCCGATCCTAGGTATACACCCAAGATAAATGAAAATGTATCCTGTACTGTATCCACACAAAAACTTGTATGTAGGTGTGCATAGTAACATCAGACCTTAACAGAGTCCCCATGTCTATCAACTTGAATGGATAAAAAAAGTGTGATCTAGCCACACAGTGGGCTATTCAGTGATAAAGAGGAGGGAAGACTGAGATAAGGATGAACCTTGAAAATATGCTAAGTGGGATAAGCCAGTCACAAAAGACCACTTAGTGTAATTCCCTTTACCTGAGTTGCTTAAACTAGGCAAGTTTAATAGCAACAGAAAGTAGATTAGTGGCTGCCTGGGGCTGGGACAGAATGGTGGAGGGGAAGGGAGAGGGAACTGGACAGTGATTGCTAAGTGGTATGAGATTTCTGGAATGTGGTAGCAGTGGGGAGTTTATAGCAGCAATGTGAGAATAGCAGTAAACTTGGCTGAAGGCTTCCTGAAAGCCAGTGGGATCACATTCCTGTTGGGAAAGGGAGAATTGACCCTCCTCTGTAATTAGCTCTTCAGGTAAAGGAAAATTGTGACCTTTGATTTGGATAATAAGTGACCAGAGAACATAACAGATAGAGGGAACCTCCCAAAATAGCAATCTATCTTTTCTGTTACTGACATGAGGACATTGTAAAGTATCTCCCATCTCCATGAAGGCCACAGAACAATTAGCCCTAACTGCATTCAGGAATCTAGGCCTTTCTGGTATAGCCCTTGCCTGTCATTTACCAAAGTGCCATCAAAGATGAACCATACAAGTTGAAATAAACTTCTGGGTATGAGACTAGAAGCAGTTACCGTAGAGAGACAAGACCTGAGAGCTCAGAGGTCTAAGCCTTGTGCTTGCATTGTGTTGGGAAGAAGCTTGTGACTTGGCTACTGGAAAGGGAAGGTAGTTATGAACAAGGAAGTCACTGTTTGAGACCAGAGACCCCACCCACCACACAGGTGTGGCAGGTCTGTTCTGTTCTGAATTTGAACAGAGAGCAAACACCTAAGCCACATGGTAAAATTTGGTTTTATGACCCTGTGTCGTTCTGTGCCTTACCCCTTATAGGTAAGAAGGAAGCTGGAAGAAACCTCAAGTGATCTTACCCAAAGAAAATATAACTTAAAATTTCTGATACTGTGTGTGGTGTGGTATGGTGTAGTGGTGGCACACACCTGTAGCCCCAGTACTCCAGCACTCTGGAGGCTGAGACAGAAGGATCGCCATGATTTCAAGGCCAGCCCAGGCTACGTAGTGAGTTTGAGGCCAGCCAAAACTGCATTGTCTTAAAAAAAAATTTCTTTTTCTGTTACTGGGCTTAGATAGACAACACATATTTCAACCATTTCTAGTTGCTGAAGCCTCACAATATAAAATGAAAATGTGGATGGTTGGTAAAAGAGAACCTTTAATGTGCAAAACTATCCTGTTTTATGATTTGCGAAGTAGCTTCATGTAGTAGAAAGAACACTGGCTGGGGAGGTGGGAAGCCTGACTTCTCCAAGTAGAAGCTGGTAGCAAAAGGTGACACGGGGAACAACTTAGGTCTCTTTGATGAGCCAGAACCGTCCTGTCCCCAGAGCTCCTGATTCAGAAAAACTGGAGGAAACTCAGAATCTTCTCATGTAAAATCTCACGCTTGGTCTGGTCGGGGGCCATTGAGCTCCCTTCTGGCTCCAGTATTATGTATGCTTGGTGATTCTTACTTCCTCTGGCTACCCCAAGACACAGTGACCTCTGTCCCTAACAGCTCCACTGCAGCTGTCTGTCCTTCCTGTCCCTGATAACCTGGCCCTTTATGTTGGGAGACTTTTTGCACCTAATTGTATTTTTTTTCCAGCAAATATTAAAAATAACCATAGTAGCATTCCTCAGTGGTCAGCTAATGATAGAGTGAGAGCTCTCAGCCTAATGTATGTCATAAGATAATAGTTGGTATTTTCACAGATAACGCTTTTTTACAAAAATTATTCATAGATCTTTTACTGCCTTTTGCTCCACAGAAAGAATAAAAATGACATCAGCAAACTCATCTTTAAAAGTGGAGATTTCCAAATGTCTCCATATGCCGAGTACCCTAAGAACCCTCGCTCCCAAGAGTGGGGCCGAGAAGCTATTGAGATGCAAGAGAATGGAAGTACCAAAAACCTCCTGCAAATGACCGACGTGTACTACTCGGTGTGTATCCCAGGCAGGGCAGCGGGGGGCTGCAGTCTGAGAAGTAAAGGAATTCTGGTGTGTGTGTGTGTGGTAAAAACATCACAGGTAGTTAAGGGTCCAAGAGGACTATAGCATGAGCCTCTTATTTACATATCTTAACATTCCATTTCCTTATGACCTATTTGCATGGTATTTGTCACTCTCGGTATTAAGGTATGAAGAATATTTTCATGTGGCACATTATGGAATCTGAGAGGCGGAGACAAAGTTTAGTGGTGTTGACCCCCAGATCCTTTCATTTTTGTCTCATCTTCCCTCCTTTACCTTGCCTTGTGGGGTTAGGTGTTATATCCAGGGGTTAGAACAAGTATAAAGAGAATGACTTCAGAATCCTCAGAGGTTTAGAAAATTATAAATTGAGCGGGTCTTTAATAATTGGCTCTGTTCAGCTTTGGACTGTATCACTTGGAAAGGCAGGAGAACACCTTGAACCCCAGCATCTTCCTTCCCCATGTTGAATTTAAGCCAGGTTTTATTTCTCTGTACTATACCAATCATAAAGCAAGCACAGACAGGGATATCTGAACTGAAAAGTACAGATGTCAGGTGATTTCTCCTTGACAGCAGTAAACATGAAACTTTGCCCCTCGGGGACTTTCTAGCACGAGGTAGCCCTGTTCCAGAAACCAAAACTGCCAATCCCTCTGGTCATACAGGAATCAGCCATGAGGATCAGACTTCGGGTGGGAGGGGCAGATCTGTTCACACTCAAGAGCTATTTATTTCAGTGGATTCTTTGAAAAATTTGAACCTGGAGGAAAACAAGAAGAAATAAAGAGAAAAATAAATGTAGGTGCAAACTTAGCTCTGTTTAAAATGTTTCCAGTGCTATTTCCACGCAGGGCTTTGCTTTTTTCTCTGTTGGGAAAAGTCCTGTTCGTCTCCTAATTGTAGCTGCGACTATGCCGGTGCTTTACTGGTCTTGCTGGCACTCGCAGGACGGCCCACATACCCACATCCTGTGTGAGGGGCCGCAGACGTGTGATGTGGTAGCACCCCATTTCACTGCAAGTTTCCATGGCATTTACTTGAGTTGCCTTAAACAGAGCTAGTTAAGGACTTAAATGAACCCCATCTGTCTTCACATATGGCTGGTGAGTAGTCTATAGAAGCAGAGCCCAAATTTACAGTAGGAAGCCCACCTGAGTGGACGGGCTGCTCCTCACAGCGGGCTCAGGTTGTCCCGGTGACTCCCACACTGGGCTTTCACAATAGGATTCGCCTTCATCCAGTGTCTTATTTCTGCCAGGAAAGCCTTTCCCCCTGGTGTTACTATGAGAGCTCCCAGGGAGCGCCTCTTGCAAATCAGGCAGGTAGGTCCTGACCTCCAAAACTGGCTTTTGGTCAGAGACACCTGAGAATCACTGTTGACCTTCTGGTTTGTGGTCCTTTGTGCCACCTGTGACAGAGTGACCTTACAGAGCTCATGTTGGTAGTGTCTGCTGCTGACCTCTGCTAAGTGCCAGGAACTATTTAAAGTTAGTTATGCACTACAGAAAAGGGTGGTGTTTTTTTTTAATTTAAGATAATAATCAGTTGAGCCACATCATGCAAGGATAAACCCAGGTCTTTTTTCCTACATTGATCTAAGATCATTGGGATGCACTCAATTAATGTTTTCTAATTCCCTTTTAAAACAGGAGCAGCTGTATTCCAGGTTCTTTAGCAATAGACCAGGGAGGGTCCTAACGTCTAGGTTAGAACTTGTTCTGCCCCTATGTAACTGCTTCTATACTAAGTCTATTAAAATGTAAAATTTCTGTTTACACTGAAGTTTAAACCTCAGAATAATCAGTTGGTTTTTCTTCTTTTCTCTTTGGCAACCAGCCCACAAATGTAAGGAATCTAGAACTTGAACGAAATGGACTCTACCCGGCCTACACTGGATTGCCTGGCTCACGGCATTCTTGCATTTTCCCCGGACAGTATAACCCGTCTTTCATCAGTGATGAGAGCAGGAGAAGAGACTACTTCTGAGTTCAGGCGAGACAGGGCCCGCCGCGCTGAGCCAGGTCCGTGGCAGCTCTGTGGTCAGTGGACTGCACCAGAGGGAGCGCCGTGCACTGGATGCTCCCAGCCTTGTCAGAGCCACAGTTCACTGGCAAGAGAAAGTCAAGCATGACGGCCATGACCACAGTGGAGGGGGCCAGATGGATGTGGAAATGCAGGCTGCTTGTTCAGCACGTTTGTTGTTACTGTGAACATGGACGTGGGCCAGTACCGAGCGAGTCTCTGACGCAGCCCTGGCACGAGGGAGGGCTGTGGGCCACAGCAGACCACTGGGTATCACTGCAGGGACCCAGTGTTCCCTAGTTTGCACTTTAGTCAACTTGGCGTGCAGGTCTCCTTTTGGATTTGTCTCAAAGCCGTCCCAAGAGACACTGAGATGCTTCTGTGGGCTGCAGTTGGTGATGAACGTGTGACCAGATGCTGGCTTTTGTTTTCCCGCCCGGCACCTAGTGCTAAACAGCAGTTGGGGATGGACATACCACTAGTTTTGAAGTTGAGCATACAATATTTTAATGCTTCTAGGTTGCCTTATGCTACAATCTCCAAGCCAACCCCCAAAATGAGGAATTGACATTTTTGAGGCATGGCACCCAACTCTTTAAGTCAAGGTGACACATTTATTTATAATGTTTTTTTCCTTGTACAGTTAAATCTCACTTTTCTGAGCAAATGAGCTAGGGCAAAACAACTTACACTTGGTTTTAGAGGCATTCAAGTGCCCCCCAGTGAGGCTGGACTGGCAGAATTGGGAGCTAGCTGTCCTGTAGGCAGTGTAATACTTGTTATCTATGAGGGCAGCACCTGGGGCCTTGGACTTTAACCACAATCATGGAAGCCAGTGGCAGCAATGGATAGAAAAAGGAGAGCTGAGTCCGCCTGGGCCTGAGCTGATGTTTCACCACTGGAGGAAAATCCTGCCGCAGTCCCTGCAGGTGAATGAACTTACAGGAATGGGTCAGGTGGGCACAGTAGATTTCTTGCATCACCAGAGCTGTGGGAAGCCATAGGGAATTTCTGAGGGGCAGAATAGGAGCTAGGACGAAGCCACAGGTGAGTGTGCTCACCTGCTAGTCTTTGTACCCAGAATCTCACCCACAAACTTAGTGTAACTTTTCAACCAAAGTTATTTATTTAATGAAGAAATAACTTATTTTCTCTTACCTGGTCTGTGGTACCTGTTCGTGACTCTCCAGTGCCTTCCAGAGACACAGCTAGACTTCAGGTCTGCACTGGGGACTAAAGACTGGCCAGCTAGGGGTCTGAGTGCTTGCTTGCTTGTGAGAAGGAAATGCCAAAGCTGTACCTATTCTGCCTGTGCCATGGATCCGGCAAGGGGGGCTTGTCAGCACTCGGTGTCTTAAATGCTCCCTGTGGAAATGTTCCTTTATCGCCTTGTGGAAGTGAAGGGAACACAGAGCTAAAAGGTTTGTTCCCATCCTGAAGCCAGGAGCTCAGTGGTACACATTGGAACACACTTCTGGAAATAGTGCCACTGCTGGGGACAGTTCTGCCCTGGGCATGGTGGCCTCTTCACAGTTCCTATGATCTCTTCTAAGCATGCACTCATCCTAACAGGGTTAGGTATAAACTCCTGTGTCCCACAGTCTCCACAGCGCACCAGCCCCCCTCTAGCAGGAGTACTAGTCAGGTGCAGTGAGTTTCAGTAATTAGATCGTACTCATTTCATGAGACAAGTACATAAAGCATTCTATTCACTGGATGTTAAACTCTCAGAGTCGCCATTTTGAATTCTTGTGTCTGCATCTCTCTATGGAACCAAATGGCCCTTTGTGCCTTGCTGCCTTGCGTCTACCTGGAGAGGTCTGAGTTCCTCACTCAGCTCGCCTGAGCCAGCAAACTTTGATTCCTTGTGAGACCACCTCCTTTCCATCCTTTGCGCTGAATCTCCCAGCTACAGGAACAGCAACCACAGCGGCCGCTCCTGGGCTACATTTCTGCCTTTAGCTGCACCACAGCTGGCAAATCATCTCCTGTGTCTGGGCTGGAAGCCTTAAGCCCAATAATATGAAGTGTCCTGTCTCAAGCATGCTTGAGAAGAATTCTAATGTTCAAAAAAGAGCATTCTGTGAGTTCCAGGAATGTTGGTTCACAGGTTTTGTCCAAATGGAGTGGATTATGAAAAAAGAAGGTGCCAAGCAAGGTTGAGTGCACAGTATCCACAGTTTCTAGGAGGCAGGTGAGAATGAGGACAGACAAGGTGTGAGAGGGGCATGACTTACCTGTTGCTCACTGCCTGTCCTAGGCAAGAAAGGGAAAGGCCGGGCTCACTCCTACTGGGGCTTTACCTCCAGAAGGCTCCACCTGGGAGGAGAAGAAACAGCTGTAGGGAGACAGCAGCCCAGAGATGGGCAAACAGCATCAGCTGGGATCAAGTGCTGTGTCAGCCTCTGTACCTGGAGTGTGTGGTTTCGTGTGCACAGAAATGCCATGGTCCTACATCGGGACCCCGCCGCTGGGGAAAGGTGACACGGGGCATCCCACCAGCTGCTTCTGTAGGGAAGAGCTGGGCCACATGGAACTCGTGTGTCTGGAGAATGCTGGGGCAGGAGACCTGGAGAGGGAGGAGTTGGCGTCTGGCTTTATGCTCCAGGTGAGCTTATTTCCATTATCTTTTCCTGTTTACTCCCTGAGCCACCCCAGGGTGCTAGGATGTGTTTCTTTAGAAAGATGTTCCTACCATGACCAGGCTCCACACAAGGTCCTGGCCTCATAATACCCTTGCTAATTAGTCTTGCGTGTTCATGTCTAAAAACTCCCAAAGAGGATAAATAATTGGCCTCGTGAGAGCAAGATTCAGATCACGGTGTGCATGGCTCAGCCTGTGGCTCGTTCCATTGGCTCTCCCTGCTTCACTTTAAATCTTAGAGGGCAAGGAAGAATGGACCTAAGAATTTTAATATAGGGGCCGGGGATTTAGCTCAGTGGTGCCGCTGCCTGCTTTGCAAGCATAAGGACCCAAGTTCGATCCCAGGTAAACCCCCCCAAAAAAAGAATTTTGATATAGTAAGCAGTAACCAAACCAAACTAATGATACAAAGTACAAGACATGCTGAATGCCCTTTCAAATCGGCTTTAACATGTATTTCCTGGATGCTTGCGGTCACTGTCAAGAAATTGGTAGCTGGCTTGTGCTCAGCATGAAGCAGATCAGTATGTGGCTTTGGCTGGAGGAAATGCAAGGTGCTGACTGAGTGCGCTCTCGACAAGCATGGGTACAGTTACACATCCAAGGACCACCAGCCTTGTCCCCATAGTGAGGCTGTGGTTCCCACATACAGGAGTGTATTTTTGTGAACCATCATCAGAGCTGGGAACAACATCGGTGAGTTGTCTTCAATGCTGAGCTTCCTTCTTGGAAAGGAAAGTTATTTTCAGAAGCAGCTTGCTGAATGGATGGTGATGCAGTCAAGTTGGCTGTTACTATTTGAGTTTTAAAAATAAACGTGGCTGAGCTTCAGAAGAGGTTCCTCAGTGGGCCCATGGGAGAAGGTAGCGTCTTTGGGTAGGGGGCTGGATGGCTATTCAAGGCTATGTCCTTGAAGGATGCCATCTATTCAGATGTTCCAGATGTAGGCACCCTAGGGCCACCCCTTTCGATGTGGCTTTTGGTGCCTCATGAAGTCACCTTGGCAGAGAGCCCAAGTGCCCCAGAACTGCGGAACTTTACCTGGAGAAATAGGGCTGTACTGTCACCCTTGCTTGAGTCACTATTGAATACACGCAGAACTAAGGCTTTGATTCGTAATTTAAAATATATTTGGATTTGAAATTAGAGCACTTCTTTGGAAAGAGGAAGAGTGGAGAGTTCAATATTTCAGTGTTTTATATTTTATTTAAAACTGCCCTTAATATAAGTGATACTTTTCCTATCTGAAAGCTTCTGTAGGGGTAAGAATACATTTTCATTCCTTTTACAATGTGCCATTTTAAGGGTTCTTATGTACATTTTTGGAAACAAATACAGTTTTGTAGAATTTTCTTTCAGGTATTTTTTTTTTCTTTTCCAAATCCCCAAAGAAGAAAACTTGTTAAAATAATAGCAGGCACATTACAGTACTAAATGCCAATTAATTTGTTGATCAAAAGTATCTCAGTAGCATTATACTCCTTCCTGTCTTTGTAAACTAGCTCACAGAAAAGCCCATGAAACCAAAGGGAATCCTTTAGGTCTAAAAGGAGATAGATTCTACAGTGGATCTGTCCCATGAGCATCTTCAAAGAAAACGTTTCAGAGGAGTTCCTTATAGATTCTAGGGTTATAATTTTTATGGTGTTTAGTGTGTGTCAGTACAGGCTTCTTAGGAAGGACTCAACACGGCAGAGATGTGATGGGAAACTGATCCAACACACTTGCCTTTCTGTATCACCCAAGCCTGTTCCAGAAGGAAAATGATTGTCTCATCATGAGTTGTTGTGGGTTTTGTTAATGTCTGCGTTGCTGGATTTATGGTAAAATGTAACATGTAGCTGGAATGTAAACTTTCTGAATTTTCACATTGTCCTGAATCACTCTTTGTAAACCTTAGCCCCTGGTTGATCGTGTTAAACCCATTATGAGAATGTTATTTAAAGTTGTATCATAATTTCAGCCTCCACCAATTATTCAATACTGTAGCAGCAAAGTATCATTTGTAAGAATTTGGTTATTTTTATACTTATATTCACTCTAAATCTGGCGTTCTAGTCAGTAAAAATAATGCAATAAAATTAATATCATTTTCATTGCGTGTTTTTCTCTTAAAAACAAGCAAACCAAACAGGAGCCCAACAAACTGTTTTTCAAGGGCCTCACTTAATGCAGTATCCGTGGGGAATGAATTAAGTCTCTATCCTCAGTGCTGGGAGGAGAAGTACACTGCTGATGGATGGAGAGATGGATGGATGGATGGACAGACCTAAACGACAAAAGGCATGATTCTAACATAACACATGCTTTTGTTTTCTCTCTGAATTGGAGGGCGTGCGTAACCAATGCAGATTCTGGAAGTGTCTGCCTGAATGACTCACACTGCTGCTCTTTCTAGCTCTTGTGTCTCGGAGAAGAAGAGAAACTAAGCCTGTCTGTTGGGCTGGAGAACAGCTGAGGCACTTTGAGACAGTGGGTCACAGACCTTACACTAGAGAAATGTTCATTCATTAGGTGCTTTTGTGAATGCCTTGCATGACAGTGATGTTGTGTGAGCCTCTTCTTAGCTTTATATTGGCACTAGGGGAAGCCAGTGAGAGCAGCTTAGCCATGCAGTGAGTTGGCAGATGAGATCAGGGCCTTAGCCCATCAAACAGTCCTAACTGGCAGTGGTGAGGGGCAGAATTCTCATTAGACCAGCTCTTCCTCCTCCAGGTCTCCCTGCCCCTCAGCCAGCAGTGCCCAGCTGAGAGGAAAACAGGAACTAGCTGACCCCTCGTTCCTACTCAGCTCAGCCGGACATTATAAACATCCTGTCATTTCCACTTCTCTGGTAATTTTATTTTCTAATTGTATATATTTAAGGTATGCGTGTTTTGATGTATATAGTGAAATGATTACTGTAGTCAAGCAGATTGATATAACTCATGTCACCTAGGTACTGTGTGTGTGCACATGTGTAGTAGAAGCACCTGAAATCTCAGTAACTGTTCAGTATCCAATACAGTTTTCTAACCATAGTGCTCATGCTATACCCTTAGGTCACTAGGCTTATTTGTCCTACACAACTGTGTTTGTTTCCTTTAACCTGCTTTTCTCCATTGCCTTCCTCTCTCACTGTTCTATGTCCATGCCTTTGAATCTGCAGAGCTGTGAGCTGCGTAAACTTTGTGAGTACTCTGCCCAGGCATTTCACGATGGCAGTTACTACTCACACACACTACTATAAGTGAGGTCGTGCAATATTTGTCTTTCTGTGTCTGGCTTATCTTTCCACTTAGCATAGTGTCCCAAGTTCCATGTTGCTCAAAGAGCAATGTCTCCTTTTCCAATGATAAATGATACCTGTTGTCTGTACAGGTCCCACAACTTCCTTATCCATTCCTCTCTCAGTGGACACGTGGATTATTCCTATATTTTAGCTGCAGTGAGTCATGCTGCATCCTGGTGCGTTGTGGAACCCAGATTGGGGAGGCCTTCCCATTGTACTCGATCAACTGGCCTGAGTGCGTCTGCTTGTGCCTCTGGCCCAGCTGAGCGTCTACCTCAGGATTTGCTTTGTGAGCAAATAAAGAGCTTAAAGGTATTTTTACACTCATGTTTAAAGGACTTCAGAAATGCACAGCAACCCATTTTCCAATTGCTTGGGAAGTGAAAAAAAGATCAGGCACATTATAGAGAGATCATCCAAGCAGAGTCCTCAGTATGGGCTGCTGAATGGCCACGGCAGCTTTCGATTCTCAGAATTGGATCACAGCATCATAGACCTCCTGAGCAGGGACATCAGGTCAGAAAGGTAAAGAGGAGTGGTGCCGGGAACAAATACTTATGTTGACTTTTATGGACCTCATGAAAGCTTGCAGCACCATCAGCTGCCAAACAACATTCTCCAGTAGTTTCCTGGTGTTTTTTCCAAATGATAATATCAGTTCTTAAAGTCTGTCCAGCTTTCTGAACCCCAGTGTCCTGAATCAGGAAAATGGAGACAGTGGTTATTGCCTCACAGATCTGTGAGGATTAAAAGAGAATCCATAAAAAGACCCTTTATAAACTATAAAGAAACAGCACATACTGATATAGGGCCATAACATAGGGATGATAGATGGACCTCCAAATAATATGAAGGAAATATAACTCCCAACCTAGTAGATGTCTGATATGCCGAGTTAGTGTTCTCTAAAACTGAATGAATCTAGGAACGATGGAGGTCAAGAGTAGAAAGTATTTATTGAGAAAAAGAAAGCTTCTGGGGGAGGGGGGTCCCAGAAAGTGGGTTGCCCACAGATTCTGCTTCTCAGGGGAGTTTTATAGAGCAAAACCCTGAGGTGAGGTGGGTATAAGGTGGGGCAAAACTATAGTCAACTGATAAGATCCCGTATATAGTCGCTTAGGGGATCAAATGAGGAAGCTAGTCATGTAGCAAGCATCTTAGACGGAACAAAGATTTCCAGGAAGGGATAGGTCAGGAAACTTTCCTGGAAGGGATGGGTTAAGGGCTTGGCCTCACCTAGGTGATTGATGACTGTTTAGACTATCGATCACTGCTGCTCATCCCTAAGGGATATACATTGGGGTAGTTAATTTGTGTCTCCAGCCACAGTTCTCTTCCTCACTGAGTTCTTCAAGGACCCAGCCCTGTCTGACTGCCTATAATATTTCTAGCTGTCCTAGTTGTCTATTATAATACTGTTCTCTTCAATAAGATCTCCTGTCACCACAAGGATATTTGAAGAATTGATACGTCATTTTGAGGCTGATTCACTAGTAACCGCCCCAGAGCTCTGAGACCTGATGTCAGTGTATTTTTCCATTTCCCTTTCACGACTCTAACCTGCCTCCTACAATGGGCTTAGAATCACAGCTCTGGGGATGGGAATCAGTACTGTCCTTTAACATATTTTGTGTTCAGGGCCTGGCATACACCTAGAAGGCATTCACTTTAAAACAGTGGGTAAATACAGGGCCTGGGTTCTAGCTCAGTGGCACCGTGCCTACCTCGCAAGCACAAGCTCCTGAGTTCAATCCTCAGTACTGAAAATATAAAAATAAATTAAAAGTGGTTGAATAAATGGGCAGGTATATCTGACAAGATAAATATATTAAGATTAAAGATCCTGGAAATCTAGCCTTGCCTCATAGAAGAAGGCTAAGAAAGTTAGTGACTGACTAGTAGTGAATAAATACATAGCTGTGATATATAACTGAACTGGAACCCTTAGCAAAAAATTCTCAGAGCAATGCTGAAGCAAGCATATGGGAAGAAAGTGTTGTAAAAATATTCTAGACAGCTGGGCATTGCGGTACATTCTTGCAATTCCACGTACATAGGAGGCTAAAGCAGAAGGTCAGCCTGGGTGACTTGGTGTGAGACCTTGTCTCAAAAGTTAAATTTTTTATTTTATTTTATTTTTTTATTTTTTTGGTACTGGGGATTGAACTCTGGCCCTTGCGCTTGCGAGGCAGGCGGCGAAACCACTGAGTTTAATCCCCAGCCCCAAAAATTAAATTTTAAAAGGGCTGGAAATGTGGTTTAGCGCTACAGTGCTTGTTGGGTATGGTTGAGGCCTAGGTTCTGTCCTCAGTACTGACAAAAAACATTAACTAGCCCTTCACCTGTAGAATTGTTGAACAACTATAAAATGGAATACCACCTACCAATGTAAAAGGGACAAACAACATCAACAGGCAGCCACATGAGTGAGTTTCAAAAGTGTTGTGCTAAGTGAAGAAAGCTGGACATAAAAGGCTACGAGCTCCATACGTTCCATTTATGTTATATTCTGAGAAAGATAAAACCATAGTGACAAAAAACAGATGCATGGTTGCCTGTAGGTGGGGAAGGGGATTTCTGCTAGTCAGCAAAACTTTTTAGCTTTCTTCCAGACACAGTTCTCTGAAGCATGGCTCTCAGACTCATTTTGGCCAAACAACTATGAATAGAAGTGAAATGTGTCCCTTTTGGGAAGACACTTTAAGAGCCAGTGTGTGATACTTCCCCAGCCTCTGCAATCACAGAAGTGCCTGTTGGCAGGAAACCGCAGCTAGCCTAGGATCCTAAATACCTAAGAGGAACATAGCATAGCCCATTGCTGGCATGGCCTCATGGGTCGGCCATGAGGAAGAAGTAAGTTTTTGTTGTGTGAAGGCACAGAGATTTAGGACTTTATTGTTATTGCAGCACCACTTAGCCCATCCTGACAGGTAACAGCTTCCTAAAAGCAGCACTAGTTGCTGAAGTTCAGGTGAATTGCTTGAGTCCTATTTTAGGGCCCTGGAACATTTGATGATCACTAACATCCATCAACCAAATTGTTTTAGTTTTGTCTTCGAAGGAGTTGAATCGGAAATGTATTGCATGGCCAGACCTGCCAAGTAAAGCTTTGTAATATGGATGGACCTTTAAATCAGTGTCCTACATCTGCAACTCACTTACTCACTGTGAGACCTTGAGGGATTTCTTAACCGATACAATCATTAGTTGTTTCTTCTATAAATATAATACAATTTTTTTTGCGGGGGACAGAGTCTCACTATGTAGTTCAGGGGCTGGCCTCGAACTCAAACAGTGCTCCCGCCTGAGCCTCCTAGGTGCTGGCATTTCAGGCATGCACCACCACACTGTACATAATAGAAATGCTAATTCCTAATACAGAGATATTTTGGAGGATGAAAGCATGAGGTCTCGAGAGTATCTAAATGATAGGCTGTAGGTATCTACGGCTCTGGACCTGGCATAAAGCAAATATTGAATAAAGTGCCCTAGTGTTTGTGGATGCCATGTTGAGCCACTGTTTTGTGATATATAGAAAAATGTAAAACATTAATTCCTCTGCATTTCCTGCTTACTTCATGGTTGTGCAAATTTCACTGTAAGACATTATTACTGTGATACTGTCATGATCAGCAAGACAAGAGTTGTATAAGGCAATATTTCATCATTTTATAATCTCAGCATACATCAACATTTAGCCTGGAGATAACTAGTTGATCAAGGAACAAAGTCCATCTTTCCTATCCTTCACTCCCAACGTGGAATATCTCGTTCCTCGTTCCTCATGTACTGACTGGTTGGCCGGTATCTCTCATTCTAACGCATTCCTTTCTACAGGCTCAGAGACTCACTAGGTGTGGCAGTGTGAGCCTGTAATTCCCGAACTCTAAGAGATTGAGGCAGGAGGATCCCAAATTCTGGGCAACTCAGTAACTTAGTGACAACCTGTCTCAAAAAGGGGTCGTGGTGGTGGCTGGGGATGTAGCTCAGTACGAAAGTGCTGGTTTATTATGAACATCAGGAGGCTCACAGGCACTCCAAGAGAGACTCAGAAGATCACAACCCCCTGACTCCCACCGCTGACCCCGGACAGGATGCCGGCAACTTAGCTCTGCTGCTCCTGAGAGCCAACACATAAATTCTGTCTTGAGCTTGCTTTCCATTTCTCTCTCCTAAATACAAGCCCTGGAATCTGAACAACCTCCTACACTACGAAACAAGCAGAGAACCATCATACTGAGAAGAATACAACCTTCTTGTTCTTTTGCTTGCCCATCCTGTGACTGTATCCAGGGGCCTCCACTTTGTAGTACCATTTGAAGGCTGGTACTCCAGAGACCAGAGAGGCCCCGAACCATCATCTCTTCCAATTACCTTTAAAAATGCTTCTCGTCTGCATAGATGTCCCATGAATAGGAAGTTCATTTGCTCTGGGGCAGCCCCATGCATATGACCGCAACTGAGACTAGAAGCATGCACTTGAACAAAGCACTCAAAACCCCCACATCCTGCTTGGCAGTACACTTGCTGCAGTTACAGGATGGTTTGTAGTCCACCTAGTGCGTGTGAAACTTTCTTGTGCCCCCCCACCCTCGAACTACCCTGGGCATGGTTCTGCTTCTGTAAGATTCCTCTTGCTCTCCCCTGAGGCCTCCCCAACTGCAAACATGATTTAAAAGGAGAAATCAAACTGCTTCCCATTGCCGAGGAAACTTCTGAGCACTCGCCACCCTCGGCCGCCAGCTATAATAAAGGGCTCGATCTGGCACGGAGTGTTGCACATCTCTATTATTCAAACTCCCTCACCCATACCAGGGGAACTGGATTCAGGTTGGGGTTCCATGGGGTCAGAGGTGAGCAAAGCCAGGCAGGAGAGGAGAGAGGCAAGGTGCTGGTCTGTGTGAAAGGAGGTGACAAGGGAGACAGACCCTTCTGCTCTGGGTGGGGGGTGAGGCCTGGCAGCTACAATCCAACCTTTCAGGCTCACTCGAAGACTGTGCAAGCAGAGGAGCTTTCTGCTCACCTCTGCAGCTCCTCCCTCTGTGCTTACAAGGCCAGTGCAGTGCCCAAGGTGGTGAGCCTGTGGGAACAGCAGGCAACTCGACCTGCCATGCAAACTTGGGTGCACATTGCCACTTTCTAAGGCTGGGGGTTTAGCTTAGTGGCACTGCACCTGCCTTGCAAGTACAAGGTCCTGAGTTCGATCCCTGGTACTGGGGAGAAGAAAGTGTAAAAACACCACCACTTTCTAGTTCTGTGACCTTGCCCACATGCTTTTTTCATTCTTTTTGAGCCTCCGTTTCCTCCAATGTAATCATATAAACCACCTCTTAAAGATGTAATGAGGGCTGGGGATTTAGCTCAATGGTTCCGCCGTCTGCTTCGCAAGCGCAAGGACCCGAGTTTGATCCCCAGTACCAATAAATAAAAATAAAAAAGATGTAATCAGAATTAAATGAACTCCTTATATGTATAAGTACTACACGAGTATTTGCTAAATGTGAAACATTTTGTAACTCGCGTCA